CAAACATGGGGAGTGTGCCAGGAAGAGCACAGAAGGAAGGGACGTGAGCCCACAGTGTGCACAAGAGGCAGAGAGAGGAAGGGAGGTACAGAGGGAAAAGCACATGCACAGGAGAGAAGTAATTCATGCATGGAGAATGCAGGGAGAAGTACAGCATCACAGAAGGACTTCACAACAGAACATACGAGTCAGTGGGTAGCAAAGCACATGCAGCTGAGGTAAAGTGCAAGTAGAGTCAAGGAATGGTTTGAGTTGGAAAGGACCTGAAAGATCACCCAGTTCCAACCCCCTGCCATAGGCAGGGACACCTCCCACCAGACCAGGCTGCCCAAAGCCCCATCCAGCCTGGCCTTGAGCACCTCCAGGGATGGGGCATCCACAGCTTCTCTGGGCAGCCTGTGAAGGAAGAATTTCTTCCTTATGTCTAATCTAAATCTACCCCTTTTTAGTTTAAAACCATTACCCCTTGTCCAAGCACTACACTCCCTGAGAAGCACATGTAAGAGAGGGAAAGTGCATGCATGCAAGAGAAAAGGAAAACACAGATACAAGGGGAAGAAAGCACACCCATGAGAGGCAAAGCACAAGAAAAAGAAAGCACTGGAGAGATGGCACAAGACAGGGAAATGACATGAGATGGGCTGCACAAATGAGTGGGATAGTGGATAATAGGGAAAGTCCACGAGCCACGGCAAATGCGACAGTGAGGTTGCAGAAGTGAGAAGAAAAGGATTACGGAGGGCAAGACAGCCCAAAATCTGTCACTGCTATTAAGAACTGAGGAAAAAGGCATTAAATGCACCTGCTTTTTCCTCATCCTTGCTTGCTAGGTAATCATCTGCATCAAGTGAGAGAGGGGAAACAGGCATGAGAGATAGTAAGGCATGCAGGAGTGGGAAAGACTGCAAAGGCAGGGGAAAGCAATGGAGAAAGAGAGAGAAGAGCAAGAGAAAGCTGTACAAGAGTGAAAGTGCACGACAAAGTGGGGAATGCGTGTGATTGAAAGTGTGAGAGGAAGAATGCATGCAAGGAATGAAAAACGTGTCAGGTCTGGAAAAGCAAGTGAGAGATGGGGAAAGCAAGAGAGCACCAGAGCAGGGTGGGATGAAGCAGATGAGGGAGGGATGCGGAAGAGAGAAAGCAGCACAAGAGAGAGGCAGTGCACATGGTTTTGAGAAGCGGAACATGTGAGGGAGAGGCAAAAGATGCAAGAGGGAAACAGCAGGCACACTGGGTCAGGGAGAGAGGAAAACGCATCAGACTGTCTCTCTCGTGCTTCACAAAGAAATCCCTAAGAGTCAAACCCACAAGAGACAAAAAGAAAGCAGGAGAGAGGGGCAGTGCGTGTGTGAGAAGCTAAGTGTATGTGAGAGGAGGGGGAAATAGGGACAGAATCAGGCAGGGAAGTGCAAGGGCTGGGGAAATCAGGTGTGAGAGCCTGGCCGTCTGTGTAAGGGGGGTGAGAAGAGTGCCCATGAGAGAAGGGATGCTGGGGTGGGGGTGCATGGAGAGAGGGGAAACGTGCTTTGGGAGGCAGACCGTGTGAGAGGCAAAATGTGCTGCAGGGAAACATGCCTGCAAGGAGAAGGTCTGCAAGAGAGAAGCAAAGCAAGGGAGACAGAGGCGAGAGAAAGTGCAAGAGGCAATCAGAAGAGGGAAGAAATACAGAAGAGAGCAAAAGTGCACGAGTACTTTTTTGTACAAAGGAAATGATGAGAAATAGGCAGAACACTTCACCTGGTGGGAAGTAGCTCAACGAGTTACATTGCATGAGAGAACAACAGTGCATGAGACCGAGGGGAAGGAAAAAGATGTACTGGAGGCAAAGCACATGATAGAGACCAGGAAAACACACGCGCGAGAGAGGGAAAGTGAAAGGAAGAAATTACATCCGAGTGGGAAGGGAAATGGGGGTTTGGGGTGGGGATGGAGCAGAGAGAGAGAAAGACAGAGGAGAGGATCAGGGGGGCAGCAGAGAAGAGGGGCTGGAAAAGCACCAGTAGGATGCCAAAGTGTTGGGTGGGAAGCAAAAGACTGTGCAAGAGAGGGAGCGAGCAAGCAGCACCAGTAAAAAGCAGCAAAGGGGAAAGCACAACGTTGTAAGAGAAAGAAGAAACATGAGAGAGAACAAGAATGTAAGCGAGGTGAGAGAGGACAAGCGTGAGAGAGGTAGGATGGAAAGGTGTGTGAGAGGGAGGGAAGGCGAGGAAGCAGGGAGGGTTGTGTGAGGCAGGGAGGGAGCAGGGGGAGGGAAGAGAGGGAAGGAGGGAGGGAGGATGAGGTGGAAAGGGGGTAGGAAAGAGAGAAAAGCAGGGACAGAAAGTAATAGAGGAGTCCCAAATAACAGAGGGAGAGCACAAGCAAGGGACTGAAAGCATGACCAAGGGGAAAAGGGCATGCAAGAATGTGTTAGAGCTGGCACAGTATGCAAGGGAGGTGAAGGCAGGAGCGAAGGAGGAAGCGTGCAAAGCAAGGGAGGATGAAAAAGGAGCACACAAAAGGGAAAAGAGCCCATGAGAAGCGAAGCGTGTGAGAAAGGCTGGGGTGCACAACTGAGAAAGGGAAGGCACTGAGCGAGAGGGAGTGGTGCAGAGACTGAGATGAAGGGAGACGGGCAGCAAAGGAGAGACAACAGAGAAAGCCAGTGGGCAGGGCAGGGAAAAGAGAGAGGAAAAGGTGGGAAGCTTGTGACAGAGGGGGAATGGTTTTAGAGAGCACAGGAGTAATTGAGAAGGGGGTGACAAGCCCTGGGAGGATGCGTGGCAAGACAGAGAGAGGGGCAGTGAGCTGGACAGGGAAGGGCAGTGAGTGAGAAACTGGAAGCCTGAATGAGACAAAGTGCAAATATGAGAGAAAACCCATGTCAGAGGGAAATGCATGCTATGGGGCTAATTATGTTAGACAGGAGAGCAAGAGAGAATACGAGTGAAGTGTGAAAAAAAAAAAAGCCAACACGGCAGCAGCAACGCATGTGGGACAAAGCAGCACAGTGCACAGGAGAGGAAAAGTGCAAGGCAGGGAAAGAGGCCAAGCATGGGTGGGAAAGGTGATGTGCACGCTTGCCTGAGAGCATCCGTGAAGCCAAGAGGCAGAGCAAGCGACAGAGAGGAGACACATGAAGGAGAGCAAGGCATAAGGGAGGGAAGCAGGCAAGGGCCATGTGGGAAAAATGCACCACATGCAAGGGGGGAGGTGGTGTTGGAGTGGGAAAGTGCAAGGGGGGAAAACTGGATCCTGAGAGAGCAGCAAGCATGAGTGTCACACACCAGAGAGACAGGGGAATGGGGGAAGCCCACACAGAAGAAAGATGGGGACAAACCACAGGAGAGATGGGGAAAGCATGCAGTGACAGGGAGCATTTGGGAGGGTGGGAAAGCAAGAGAGGGGAGGAATAGCTGTGGGGGGAGGCATAGGTACAGAAGGCAGAGAGCAAGGCAGGGCAAAAGCGAGGGAGAAAAGGGAAAGCGTGAGCAAAAGCATGAACAAAGGGGAAAGCATGCCTGAGAGCGAAAATCGGGGGAGGCAAGAAAGCAAGAGAAGGGGGGAGGCAAGGGAGGGGTAGGGGTGAGAAGGAACTCAAGGGCACAAGAGGAACATAAGCGCACAATTCCATGAACACAATGAATTTGAGAGGAAAGCAAGGGCACACGAGGAAAGTGAGCATGATAGTGCATGATAAGACAGCAGGGCAGTGAGGGGGAAACGAGCAACAGTAGGGTAGGAAGGGATAAAGAGGGCAGCAAAGACAGGTGGAGGGAAAGCACAAGCCAGTGACAAAGTGCGAGCAACAGGGAAAGTGCAAGTGAGGGGAATATTGTGTCAGAGAGCACAGGAAAACCATACAAAGAGAGGGAAAAGCAAAAGCACATGAAAGGCAAAATGCACAAGGGGTAAGATAAGCACAAAAGAGAGAGAGGAAACACGACAGAGAGGAAAAGCATATGTGGGAGGGAATGCATTGCAGGGAGAGAGGGATTCCTCGAGGAGGGAAGACAGAAAGCTCACGGCAGGGGAAAGGAGCCAAGAGAGGGAAGCCTCGAGAGACATCGGGAAAGTTCAGGAGATCCAGGGGATGCTGAGAGGGAGGGGAATAGAGATGAGAGAAACAGAAAGCATGAGAATGAGAGGAGGGAGCACAGGAGAGCAAATGCACAAGAGAAAAGGCACATGTGACAGGCAGAGAGACAAAGCACATGCCAGTGAGAGAAATGACACACCAGAGGGGCATAAAACAGGCCTGGGAGAGAAGGAAAGACAGAAACAGCAAGAGAAAGAGGGGCAGGGATGCCAAGGAAGGTAGAGGGAAGAATCCCATGCGAGTGAGAGGGAGTCCTCTAATAGATCCAGGTGTGGATCAGTGCAGGTGTGCATTAAATTTAATGAACTGCTTTGCATAAGGAGCATTTTTAAACCTGGCTATACAGGATGTCAGAAAAGCATTGTCTCATGATGGAGAGGTTCCAAGCATGAACAAATGTCGAATACTGCACCTTCTTGTACAGCAACGTGACTCTGCACACACCTGCACCCCAGGTGGAGTACGAAGCAGCGAGCCAGCTGAGCTATGTGCTTTCTAACACACTTCTGTAAGTCAGATGGACACCCTGAGATCAAAAGGAGGAAGGCAGTCTAACTCTAAAACCACCAAATTAGAGCAGAAACAAAAAACATCATCGCAGAACCCTTTCCTTTCAGTCCAAGATCACCCACCAAAAAAAAAGGTGGTAGGCCATGTAGAAATTAGCAAGCAGGTCTGATATGCTTACTTAAAGTAGCCTCTGCCTGAAGCCAGCAGCTCTGTCGATGAGCACAATCTCACAGTACGACAGTACACAGCGTTGGTAAGGCTATTTAAAAGCTGTGTGACCACCTCTGCAATGCACCTGTGCAGCACGCAGTACACTGGAGTGTGAGGTCTCAGTTAAGGTCAGCAGTCATTATCAGGAAACAGACCTCAAGCTTAATATGCCAATTCTACCAAATATTAAATCACTCTTCTATTTTTTTTTTTTTTAAAGTTCCAAATCTGTTAGATGCTTCCTTCTATCTGCATAAAGCAAAAATAACTCAGCCCACCCCAAATCTGTGTGCTTTAAATTCTGTGCTCACTACTTCCTTTAACATTTACATAGAAAGTGTTTCAGCTCCTAAAACACAGCTGCATAGCTGGTCCGTAGAGGAAGAGGATGACATTTATTTTGCAAATGGCTTTGAAGCAACTGTCATTTGTTTGCAACAGAGGCAACTGACAAAGAGGTCTCCATCGCAGAACATTAATGATGTGTACGACAGATCTCCAGCTCGTCACTGCAATGACAGCACGTCGAGAGATACCAAAGTGAGTAGAATATTCTTCCACCCTGTGGCAATAAAGCCACACTCCCAGTTTTAAATCACTTCCAGATTCCCATACACATGAAGGAACCAGTAGGTACCTTCTACATTTTTTATTTCAGTCGGAGAGCTGGGTTGATGGCAAACACAGTATAGAGCAGGTATTACCATTCTAGAGAACATAGCTGCTGTATATTCTTAGCTGTAAATATTTCTTCATCTTTAATTAACCTAAGGGACAGAGAATGAAGTGAAACCAGAGGAATTAAAATCTACATATGTAAATACTGAAAGGTTCAGAAAAAAAAAAAAAAGCTCTGCAGTGTTCTTTTGTCTTTATCAGGGACTGCAATTTCTACCCAGGACTCAAAACAGAAAATATACTGAAACACTCACTGCATGTCCAGCTTACATTAGAAAGAGAAATGATCAATGTAATAACATGAATTATGAATGGAGGAATCCATAAATGAAATGCATTAGGTTGAAGATGGCAAAAGCTGGTGTTAAATGCTCAAATTCCTGTAACAAGCATGCTTTCCTTCTTCTTTTTATATCAGTATTAAAAGAGAATTCACAGCAAAAATGTAGATTTGCCGTGCAAGCATTCTACATTAACGACGTCCCAGCACAACATTAAAGGTTTTGCAACCAATACCCTCTCATTGGGCGTAACTTATGTCTTCGATCCCTGAAAGCTATTTGCTAACAGGAAAGCATTATTAAAACTTTTGATAACTAGGAAAGAGAAGTCAACAGACATGCAGCTTTTTTTCTAATGCTAGGAGACATCCAGCATTCATCCTGGAACCTGACTCATTACACCAATTAAAACACAGATTTCAATGTGCAAGGAAGCTGAAAACTACCATGCTGCCTACCAAAAGAGTGGTAATTACACAACACTGTGACTGTCACCCACGAGACAATTTTTTGGGGTAGGAACTTAGAAATTGAATCCATCTGGAGTATACTGTACAGTGAGGTCATGTAACACAGGTCTGGTTATCCAGTTACACAGCCCTTTTTTCGGATCACAAGGATCCCCAAATGTGAAGTTCTAATTCAGATCAGAGCGATGCAGTGAGCACTCTAAAAACCATCCTTTACATGACTCATATGCTCTCTGGAATTTATGCCAGTCACACACAGAATACTTGGTTAAGTTTAGGCATCTGTTTAATCATTGTTCCCTGTCTCAAAAGTATTTTCAAGAGTTATTGCAGTTTCCATGGAGACTCAAGCAGAAGAGTTCTTACTATTTCTGTCTGTGAAAATCCCATCACATTCCAGCTGCCAAGTTTCTTATGAGAGCATGAAGGACTAAAAGTGGCAGTAATATCCATGTTACTGTCTATCACATGCCATTAGTTATTTTAGAAATATATTTACCTTTGCATATGAGGAGAAGATTTTATAGTTCCATGTGCCTGGTTAGATGGATGCAAATGGTTTAACCACTTACAATCCCAATTCCAGAGCAAATACATTATTTCAAGCAGTCCTTATTTTCTATTCTTTTTTAGCATAGTGGTCTGAAAATACATAGACTACAGGTATCTAATGCACTTTTCCTTCACAAGGAGGCTTTTAACGCTGTCTCCTGTAACACCCTCACAGGCAAACTGATGCAGTAGGGTTAAGATAAGTGGACAGAGAGGTGAACTGAAAACTGGCTCAGCTGCCCAGCTCATGGGCTTCTCATCAGCACCACAAAGCCTACCTGGAGGCCACTCACTAGATACTGAACCCAGAGCTTCACAGCGGGGACAATGCTCTTGAGCATTTTCGTTAATGACCTGCATGACAGCGCAGAAAGCACCCTCAGCAAGTCGCCACACAATGCAAAATGGGAAGAGCTGCTGGTACACCACAAGATGGGTGGGAGACTATTGAGTGTCCATCCTTGGAGATAATTAACACCTGACTGGACATGTCCCTGAGGAGCCTGCTCTGGTTGACCCTCCTTTGTACAGCAGACTTGACACCAATGATCTCCAGAGATACCTTCCAGGCTCAAGTATTCCATGATTTCATGAATGCAAAGTGCAGAGAGAGCAAAGGTTATGCTTACATATTTGCCCCTTGGAACTGAGGGCCCCAGTGGAGTTCTGCTTCTAAGAACTCCAGCATGAAGTTCTGGTAAACTAAGTCAGCTGATGCAGCTATAAATTAGATGGAGCTCTGCTAAGTGGCTGCAATAAAAGCGGCTGCAAAACATCTAGCACGGAGGTCAGACTTCTCTGCTTAAGTCACCTTCCTCAGATGCAAGCAGCTCTGAAACAGGCTGCAGGATGCTAGGAACTGTACTAAGAATGGCATTGCTCTGCTCTTCTGAACACATCCGTTCAGCTGTGAGTGTATTAGGATGGGTCAGCAATCCTGATGGCATTCTGTGGCAATCTAATGGGACCTACTCAGCATACTCAACAAAACCATGGCAGCTGGGTTCTTCTAGACCTTCCTGCCTAGTGGAAGCAGGTAAAGGATCTTCATCTTTCATTCAGAACCACACAAGAAAGGAGAGGGTTTGAATTGCACTGACCAAGGCATATTTGCATACAAAAAACTGAGAAGCTTTTATAAAGAACAATCTAAAGCATCCAGCACTTAAAAAAAAAAGAAAAATTTTGTCTTCCATACATTTAAGAAATCACATGGAACAGCCGACCTGTGTCTTCCACAGTTTGACCGAGGAATAATAACAAGGAAATGTGGCAACCATTTGGCCAGCAACAAAACACAGAAGTAAAATAAAATGTGCATAGACTACAGTTCTGAGCACTGTAACATACCAATTTAAATTATCTCCAGGGGCTAGAGAGATTCCAGTCCAGGGTTATTCACTGCTTAGTAGAGGAAACAGCCTTACCAGTTGACAGAAATGAACCTTAAAACTTCTACAGGCACAAGTTGTTTGATGGGATCTACTTACATAAGTGATGTGGGTATTACAGGTCACAGCTGCCCACCTGAGAGCAGTTTAAAACAGCACTGTACCTGGCAACACTACTAGTTGAGCTTTTAATCTGCAAAAATTCAATCAAGAAAACATCAGAACAACCAACACTACTATAGACACACATTATTTGAAACAATACTAAACATCTATAGATCTTCAAAGGTTTTGTTTCAGAGAGTTTTTTCATTATTTTGTTACATGATCTTTAAAGAAACATGCTATATGGTATCATATTCTGATCATTGTATGTTAGTGCTGATCACAGGCTGCTGTCTAGGGTTTAAACAACATTAAAACTTCGTCTTTTTAAATACATTACATAACTTCTGTTTTTTTCCTTTCCCTCTCCACACAATGGCACTGAGTCTGTTTACATCTCTGTGCTCAGAATCCTCTAAGTACAACTGAAAATTTCCAGTTCCAAAGCACCTACAATGTAATTAAGATCAGAAAGTAGTACTTAAAAAAAAAAAAAAAAAAACAGGAACATGGATATGACCAGTGGAATTGTCTAGCGTTAATTTAAACACAGCATGGTAGATGTAAACAGAAATATAAAGGAATTGTGAAAAATGGTAGATTAATAGAATGCAAGTAATAGCCAGGGTTCATGGGTCACATATTTACTAGAAGACATGAGGCAGGGAGTTTTATACGTACACGGTAACTCTTTTTAAAGAGAGTAGAAAGAATGGAAGTCAAGAGCTTGAAGAGCTTAGATATTGGGAAGATGAAGCACAGCAGTAAATAAAGCTAAATGGAGGAGTTTTAGAAGCAGAGTTAAAGTTGAGTTTGTGTCAAGACAAGTAGTAGGGAAAACTCAGGAAAGGTGTTACCGTGGTTATACAAATACAGACATCAGTAATTACTGTATTATACATCTTCTCCTCCCAAAGCAAAAAAAATATCTGAATGAACAAAAAAAAGATGTATTAAACATAAAGACCAGTATTTAGACAGTATCAACCTACATAAGACCAACTATGATTTCAGGGTAACCAGCCTTAAACTAAGAGGAAACATTCTACAGTAAGTCTCAATCTACTAAGTAGTATATTACTGGTGCAGTACAATCACTCAGCACTAGGATACATAATTTCACTAAAACAAAGCACAGAGTCAGGTATCCTTAAAAACCAGCATGGTAGATAGGCAGGTCAGCGAATAAGGTGCTATCTCTGTCTGTTAAAGGTGCTTGTTAATACACAGCAATGGACACAATGACGGTGCAGGAGATCAGCCTGTTAGAACTGCTCCTTCCCAGTACAAAAACCTCCACTACTCTATGCAGCTAGGTGAGTTGGGATACCCTCTCCTTATGCCTTTGACAAACACACACATGCCAACACAAGTTCGCTGTGTACATATAGCCCAAGACAAGCAAGCAAAAGGAGAAGAGAGAGGCCAGATAACACAAAGCACAAACAGGATGAGACTGGATGACACTCTGTAGATAAAGGAAGTCAGATGTGTTTACAGAGGATGACTATGCATAAGGCAAAGAGTTGTAATAAACCAAATAATGTCTAAAATCCCAATCCCACATGCCAGTCCTGCTGCTATGTTGTTTCCCATTAAAAAAAAAAAAAAAGAGTAAATTTAAATTCCAAAGATAATAAAGAAAAGACATGTAGTTGACTAAGAAAAGCTTTGGGAGGCTCTGGGATGGTAAGAATTTTGTCACTGTCAAATGTTATTTCAGTGAAAATATATGTCAAGTTTCTGTGTTTGTAGATCAATAGGATACTGAGTTTACAGCTCCTTCCTACTAGTATATTGCATCTCTCAGTTTGAGTGCCCTGCAAAATGACTTAAATGCAGTAGCAAAGAGTCCAATTATATTTTACATGAACTCTAAGTTACATAAACATTTTCCAACTACCTCTTCTTGAAATTCCACATTCATTAATTTATTTTACATTCCTTAATTCCTCTGCTACACAAGATATACAAATGCACAAACATTTTAGCTAAAAGTAACAGTAACAACCATGAACAGACAATAAAATTAGCTTATTTTATTTATCTGAGGTTGAATGCCACTTTGCCAAGCAAGGACAGCTTGTCAAAGAACAGCATATTGGTTAAGTTTGAATTCTACGTCATTATTCTGAAAAGGCCTTCTCAGGCCTCCTACTTAATAGATTCCAAGAAGATTGTTTTTAGGTAGGACACCCTGTTAAAACAAAATATAATAAGATTTTAGATAATTTAGCACAGCAAAATGAGATCTCATTAAGAAACAAAATTAGTAAAACACAGACATATCTTCCCAATACAAAATTTCTGCACATAAAATGAAACTGGAAGAGTGAGGTGATACAAACTCATACCAGAAACATATGTATTTTCTTAATGGAAAACTAACTTTTAAGGAAAATAATGATGTAAATAAAACTGTTTGTACATTATATAGATGGCATTTATATCTGCAATACGTAAGGGAGCATTACTTTAGTTTTAAACTTGATTACCTGCTAACTTCAGAACTCAAGTAGCACAGCAGATGAATGGCCCAAAGCAAAGGTCCTGCGTACGTTGCAAATGCTGTAAGGAAGATTGCTGGTATCTCCACATAGCTTTCTAGTCCCACAAACCCTGCTGAAACATCCACAGTAGCAATGCCATTCGAGTTTCCCTGAAAACAGGAATAAAAACCAAAAGATTCAAATGTGCCCAAAGAAACATTTATAATACATCAGAATATAATTAATTATTGTACCAGTTAAAGGCTTACTCTTTGAGCCACTTTACAGTATAGACATATTCTTTACATTCTTTACACTGGAATTTCAATACAGCGGCTAACCAAACGGGAGCTTCTGTTTAGGATTTACAGTCTGCTTAGGACATGAACAGCATCTTTTGCTTGTCTTATTTTGTCAGCAAATACATATGCCGGTTTAATAAATTACATCATTAAAACAGGCAACTACACCTGCTGATTTCAGTCTAGTGATGAAAAAAAATACATTTTTCACCACACAAGGTTCAAAACCAAGACTTTAAGGCTGTGGTTGAAATTATACCTAGAAATAAATATTTCTTGCCATTAGAGACAATGGGGCTCCAATTTAGAGCTGTAGTGGAACATGTACCAGCCCCCTCCCTGTCCACGACAAAGCTACTGCATGTAACTGGATTAAGACTTGCAAATTCAGAGAGGTTCCACCAAGACCCCCAGGTCCTTTTCCGCAAAGCTGCCTTCCAGCTGGCTGACCCCAGCACATACTGCTGCTGGACTTTGCACTTTACCGTATTAAACTTTGGGAGTTCAGGAAGCTCACGCATACAACGCCTACCATGCTAGATGTTAAATGTTCAACCGCTCCGTTCTCACCAGGAGCCCCCTGAGCCTCGTGGATGGCTCCTCAGGTACTGCTGGCAGAGCCCCGATGAAGCATTTGTTCTCCACAGCAGGTATCTTTCACCAAGACAAGTTCGTACGTTCCACACAATGTATAAATAGCTGACAATTCAGAGTATCTGCTCTTAGTTTAAAGTACCACCAAAATATTTCTAACAGCGCCATAGCTTGTTGCTGTAATGGCAGAAAGTGACAGGATGCAATTCAATTTCACATAAAGGTATTCCATAGTGATCCATCACGACCTGAATCAAGGAAGCACGAAGGTAAAAACACTGGGTAGAGACGCTAACAGAGAAGGAGGCCTCCATGGACATGAATGAAAACAATCACAAACTCTCCTCAAAGTCTCAATGGTTTTTCTGGAAAATTTTCAGATACTGCATTGCTCATCACATACGAGCCAAAAGCTACAGCACCTCCATGACTCTCACTGAACTGAGAAGAGGTGAAATTCAGAAGTGTTTCACAGAGGTGGAACACAGAAGTGACATGCTTCTGACTGCAGTACCAATTTGACACAGCGCACTGTTACTGTACTTCCACTGAGCCCTTCCCACAGCTTTCTAGTAAATATTAACAAACATGGAATGAGAGGAATTCAATTACTTGAGCCAAATAATTTGAGGTGGAAAAAATAAGTAATTGGAGCAGGTTGCCCAGAAAGGATCTGCAACCTCCATTCTTGGATGTTTCAGGACCTGATCAGACAAAGCCCTGGCCAACCTAGTCTGACCTCACAGCTGACTGTGCTCTGAGAATGGGATTCAACTTAAGACCTCCTGAGGGCCTCTCCAGTGTAAGATAGCCTATAATGCTTGGAAAACCACACAAGACAAGCTATAAACCACTTTAAAATGTCTCCCAGTCCATCTTTCTACCAAAAGGCAAGACCAAATAGATAAAAAAGATTCTGAAAAGATACAAGTCTATGCTGTTCTCCTTCTGTGATAAAAAATAACTAGATTATAAACAAGTCTCAAAGGTTTTAAAGACTGTATTTCCTTTCCCTTCTACTGAAGATACACTGTTCTAAGGATGGAAATAAAACAAAAAACACAAGACCAATAATGAAAAATATTTAATTTTTCTTCATTTATGAGCTCTTATCCAAGGCAACTAAAATACCTCAAGAAATATTTACAGCAACATATATTTTTTGGAAGCTGCTACAGTTAGAGGCAACCAAGATTTATTTCTATTGTCACTGCATGCTGAAGAGCAAGGAGCAATGATGAAGATACAGGATGTTTCCAGGAAGTACGTGACAAGTTAAAAGATGTGAGCAAGTCAGGGCTTAAAAGTAAACAATCAGTCATTCAAGCTTGTTGACAAAATCAACAAACTTGCAATAATATCCAACATAAATAAGCAGGGGCCATACATTTTGTATGCTTGTCAGAACTGGAGTATTCTTAACTTTGCTTCTCTTCATGAACTTGCACAATACAATAAATAGGGCAACAATCCTAACTTTTAAACAAGGCAGCTTTACCCAAGTTCACATAAATAACTTGATGAAATAACTAAACGATCATGAGAACATAAGATAATTCAGGCTGGAAGGGAACTCAAAAGTCATCTAGTACTACCTCCTGCTGAGAAGAAGTTCAGATACAAAAGAAAAGACCTGGTTGCTCTGGACTTTATCCAGTCAGGATCTGGACACGTCCAAGAACGAATACTGCAAAATTTACCTAAGCATTTTTTTCCCATGCTTACTACTCACAATCTTAGTAATGGTCCAGGAAAAAAAGTGTGTCATGTAAGCAAGTCCCATATAAGTTGCAAGTTTAATAAATTAGCCTTTTATGTTCACATTGTCGGAGACACGGAAGGGCCAGCTGCTCTGCAAAGGAACGTAAGCTGGGAAAACAAGCCAGGTGAGAGCAGTGAATTCACCAGGAAAGAGTCAGGGTGGCAAGCAGTAAGTCTGGGTCAGGACTGGATCTGGAAATAGTGAACAGGGTCAGATGCAGTCCATTGATCAGCCAGCAAATCCATAGCGACACGACAGGTACAAGAGCAGGCCAGGAAGCTCAAACAAGAGGTTCATGTCCAGGTCAGGACTGAGATGGAACACGGACATATCTGCTTACACAGCTGTGACATAGCACTGGTGAGAGTCAACAGTAAAGCATCACATTAAAAGCAGCTCCTAAAGGAAAGAAGGACAGGCCCTTGCTTCCAGCTTTTCTCACAACAGTTGCCCTCACTGTAGGAGATGACTTTGTACTTCACTAAACTGATCTCCTAGACAGGAGATGCACTCAGGGTCCTGACACAGTTAAGGTGCAGAATGAAAAAAATAAGTATAAGCTCAAAGCGTATGTTTTCAAATACTTTTTTTTCTATTGCTATTCAGGATCAAAATATTAGCTTTCACACTCAGAAATGTCATCTTTTTCACCCCCTTTTTTGAAGTATACTGACTGATTAATGAAAAAAAATCTATTCCTCTGAACCCTGCTTATACTGTACACTTAGGATTTTCATTGCAATTGCTCCATAAAGTCTTTAAAGACCCTATAATATTTTTCAAAAGAATTCTGCCTCATTCATTAAATATGCTATCTTGAACAAAGCTATTTTTACCCACTATCCTATTCAAAAGGCCATCACTTACATTCCATACTTGGTGAGACAGAGTTCCTGCTTTTCTCATTACATATCATCTTGTCTACCAAGATTTAATAAAGACTCAGAAACATGGACAAGAAATCTCATTCTCCTTATAATCACACCAGAACATGTGCAAAAAGTAGTTCTCCAAATTTCTCTCCTATTTCCAGATGGAAGGGTTTTATATTTAGTTTATATTTCCCTTTTCCTGCCTCATTTAGCTAGCACAGTTTAAATTTAGTATCCAATCTGATCAACACCAACAGCAACTTTCAGTGTTTTTCAATTCCTGTATTTCAACCATAAATGTACTAACATTTTCACATGCTACATTAGATCTTTATGTCTGCCTGGAAATTAAAAATCTAGCACCACACTGAACCCAGACAGTTTAATAGTGGTAGTTCTTGTAATCATGAAATTTGGGGAAAGAAAGTGAGAGAAGACACTTAAATCTGTGCCAGCGGTGGACATCATACCTACATAATACAGTTCTGCTTCCTTCCCATCTCTTCCCCGGCATTCAAGCATAGATATTGATCAGTACAGAGGTGGCAAATGAGTGATTAGCTTGTACCAAGGCAGGCTGATCACAGATCAATACTGAAGCTGAGAACTTGAGAGACTTCTCCTGCAGGAACAGCCTGTTGTACTTCCTTAATGGTTATTTTTGAGAATTATTCTATGTCTGAAAAATTGTTCTCTCTCTGAAATTCAACCCTTCCCTAAGTCAGTCAAAATCTAAGACCTTAGTGTTAATGGTATAGCCAAGACAGGCAGTTGCTAAAACAGGGACACCTTCAGTTTGCTTAGCATGAACAGACTATCTTCCCTGGAAGGGAACTAACTGAAAGCTGTCACCAAACATAGTTCTTTCTTTTTCCCTAAAAAGAAAAAGTTTAAGTGTTTACAGGAAAAAAATAAAATCTGTTACTAAAACAGAGAGCTACATCAAGAAAAGAATAGGCACTTTCAGAGTTACTCCTTTCATCATTCAGGTAAGAAAGAGCTGAGAAGTGTATGTAACAACCCATCATCCACAGCTTCTCTTGATGTCTCTCATCCAAGGTGCTCTTTAGATATACCTCAACAACTAAAGATGAGCTGTGAGTAAACAGGGGAACCTGTATGGCAGTGAAGAGAAGGTCTTTGTAATGCATACCTGAAAGGATCACTATAACTTTAAGTGTTGTGGGATAGATGTTGCTGAGAGGCACGTTAGATCCTTTTCAGATTAGGTGTACAAAATCGCATAGAAGTCCATGTGTGTTCACCTGTTGTTCATCTGGTTGGGCCCTGATTCTGCAGTTTAGTGCTAGCCAATTAATTAAGTGCTGTTAACAGATGACTGACAGCTAATTATTTGTCACTAATATAACAACAAAAAACTTAAATCCTGATTTTAAGTTAAACCGAGCAATTTTTCCTTGCAACAGGTAGCTTCTGCTCTGGACTCTGAACTCAAAGAAAAGGGAAGGAGAAATTTAAAGAAAAAATAGTCAATGAAGAAGTGGGTTTTCTCGATTGTCAGGTTTTTAATTTTTCCTGGTAGTGTAGATCAGAATACTACATAACAAGCAAACTTCCCCTAACCAAACTGTTGGAAGAAGTTTCTTCCATCCCTAGTGCTACAGCCCAAGACAAGAAAGCTGAAAGCAGAACCAAGTGGGAGCTACTTACCAACTAAAGAAAAAGCTTTGACTACATTTTGAGGGATGTTTGTAGCCTCTGTAATTTTATGAGCTACCATCACTTCTGTTCTGCTTTTCTACGGTAATAGTTTGCACATCAAATAACTGCCTTCAACTGTGAAGGTGCAAAAAAAAAAAAAAAAAAAAAAAAAAAAACTTTTAGCCTTGTATGATTCAGTTTGTTCCTTCCCATAGCTGCAGAATGGTTCCTTCACCAGAGAATAAATGAACCAAGCTAACATCTGAAGAGGATTATTTTGGTCAAACACTTCATCTCCATCGTATAAAGGTAATCTAATGTAAATGCAAGTACAGCATTTTTTAAAGATAACTGAAAACTTGCTCTGTAAGAGTGAGGGAAAAGAATTCCACCTACCTTGAATTTTAAAACACTTTTTTCCTTAGCAGAACTGATCTCTCTATTTTCAAAATATCTTTAGGATTATGAAGGCCATAATCAAAACTGTTCTTTCTAAAAAGATCTTCTGTTCTATTCCAATTCACTTGTCATTTCATTACGTCTTGGACACGCTGAAAAGGTAAGTACACACTTTGGTTTTCTGAGTAGACCACAAAAAAGTCTGCAAGACACTGCTGGCAAGGTCTTCTGACATGGATATATTTTTAAAGGGAATAGGAATTATATGGGGAATATATTTTTAAAGAGGATAGGAATTAATAAAAAAAAATGCTAAGCAGTTGCTAAGCTCAGAAGAATCTCTTCAGAGCTAGAGTTTACAGACAAGTGATTGGACATGAGGTATCTCCTTATCTGTATTTGCTCTTTTCATATATTGAACTTAATAATAAACCAGTCTGGGAAAGAAAACAGGGTTGGGGGTGAGGGCAGAAAGCTTTGCTCTGTCTCTACAAGAAGCTTTGAGAATTAACTATCACCTTTCATTCTCCAGATCCTGAGTGACAAGGGATACACAAGAACAGTCAAGCAACAGGGATCACAACAAAGCAAGAGAGAACTACACCCTTCTCAGCTCTGGATGCTGTGATTCAGCAGCATCACATGTGCACAGAGGCTCCTTCATCAAAGCTAATTTTTAAAATATCCTTAAGTTTGTTGAAATCTGTATCACACCAGATGTTATTACTCCCAATGAAAAAACATCCAGTAAAAATGTCAAAGTTGCCAAAAGGTTGGTAGGCTGTGGGGGGAAGCCTTGCAAGTTCAAGATATCCAACAATACAACATGCAGCTAATTAAAGTGGAAGTCACTTCTTCCCGTCTTCCAAAAACTAATAAGCTCTCTAACTGCAAGGGTCATAGAAAGTGAAAAGAAAAGAAAAACAGACATTAGGGTAAGAAGAAAAATCTTAAAAGATATTTACATCTTCTCAATGACACCAGTATAAAAGCACTAAAAAAAAAAAAAAAAAAAAGCCATGTAACACCCCATAACACACTCACAAGCAAACTGAAACTGATGCAGTAGCGTTAAGTAGACAGAGAGGTGAACTGAAAACTGGCTCAGCTGTCCAACTCACAGGTTTCTCGTCAGCACCACAAAGCCCACCTGGAGGCCACTCACTAGATACTGAACCCAGAGCTTCGCAGCGGGGACAATGCTCTTGAGCATTTTCGTTAATGACCTGCACGACAGGGCAGAGAGCACCCTCAGCAAGTCAGCACACAATGCAAAATGGGAAGAGCTGCTGGTGCACCACAAGATGGGTGTGCTGTCATTTAGGGGGCCTCAACACGCTGCAGAAATGGCCTGACAACAAACCCGTGAAGTTCAGCAAAGGCAAATGCCAAATTCTGCGCCTCAGAAGAAATAAACCCAGCCACTAGGCTGGGCTGGGGGCTCACCACTGGGCAACCAGCTTGTCAGACAAGGACATACATAGGTTGTCCTGATGGACACCACATTGCCTACCAGCCAGCCACTTGTGCTTCTGGCACAGAAAACCAACAGCACCTGGGGCTGTGCTGAGGAGAGTATCACTAGCTGGTTGAAGATGATGCTCCATTCCCTCTTCAGCAGTGATGAGATCATGGTCAGGGTCCTGAGTCTAGTTCTGGGCTCCACAGTGCAAGAAAGTGCATGGATGTACTGGAGCAAGAGCACTGAAGGACCACAGACACGATGTTGTGAACAAAGCATCTGTCACACGAACATTATCTGAAAGAGCTGGGTCTGTTTACTTTTGCAAAGAGAAAGCTAAGCAAGGATTGTAACAGTGTCTATAAATACCTGATGAGGGGGAGTAAAGAAGATGTAGCCAGACTTCTCTCAGTACAGCCTGCTGAAAGGATGAAAGGCGATGGGCACAAACTGCAATGTAAGTTGTTCCATTTAAATATCAGAAAAACCTTTTTTACCGGTTAAGGCACTCATACACTGGGAGACAGTGCCCAGAGAGGTTGTAGAGCCTCCAACCTTGCAAGGATTTAAAATCAGACTGGACACTGCCCTGCACAACCTAATCTGGATAGATTCAATCACTAGAGGTGCCTTCCAGCCTCAACTATTCCGTGACTTGGTGGTTCTGTGAAATCCTCAGCCAACTCCACCAAAAATAGATGCTTTGTGAAAACATTCAGATCATTCTTTATTAGTCTCTTTTCTGCAAGTAAGATTTTCTTGTCAGCCTACCCGCTATTACATTTCTGGGAGCCACTTTTGCTCACTGCCTTAGTGTGCAGAGGGTTCTGCCTTCAGCCTTCTTCCAACCCCACTAAGGGCAGCTCTCGAAAGGCAGTAATCAGAGTTGGCTGTCTGAACTGTAACATGCAAGATATACAAAAGCTATTCAACCAAAAAACATTACCTCCTCAGAGGAGGGGGCATAGGGAAAACTGGGGAGGAAAGGGTGAATCATGATGATCATATGCCCATCAGCAATTCTCTGTCCTGAGATGCACTCTCAGCAAAGTGAAGCCAATCCTCAAAGAGTACTAACAGGATCAGAAACCATTTAAGGTACCCTCAGCTTGACCGCAGTTTAACATCCATGCCTCAAAATTAAAGCCAGTACAGGCTGTACCTTGACATTTTGCAGAAAATCAGAAAGCCTCTCCTCATAATCCAGACCCTAACAACCTGATTCCCAGCAAATGCTTTTCTGAGATAGTTTGCTACGCTAAGTTTCCAACACTATTAGAAGTGGAAAGAACCTCTCCAGCTTTAATGAAAAGAAAGGATTTTATTGAATTGCAACCTTATATGCAGTGTGAGGAACAATGTTACTGAAATTAGTAAGACTCCTCAGGAAAGACGGTAACATTCCTTAAAATGCGAACGGCAGTTAGTTTAAATTCTCATAAAGATGCATTATTTTGTCATAGAGCTTCACTTCAGTCTTGAACCGTATACAGACCCATTGTTACGTTACCAGAAGGTTTGGAAGCCTCAAGGATCAAGTACAAAAATGCAAGTGCCTGTTACTGGTATTAAACAACTCAGCTGATATTTTTCCATTTACTATCACCGTAGTGGTGGTTAGGTAGTCCACAAACAGACCAAACTCCCAGAGGATAGGTCTCTGATACTCTTGACAGTTGTGGAAGTCTGCACTGAGGCTATCAAGTTATCAAGGTATGCATCTTTCCCTGATTCTGAGATAGAAATGTTAATAATATACTTAGAAACAAAACACTTCCGAGAACTCAGTGAACTCTCCCATTACAAGATTTAGTTGACACTTCACTTACCACGAAAAATATTTCATGCAAAAACTGTTCCCCCTCCCATACCAGCCCCATAGTAGGGAGAATATTCTGCTTACCTGAAAATAGAAGAAAGCTTGGCCAAACCAGTAATGCATGATAGTAATCTGTGCCGCATCACATTTCAAAGGCCTCCAGATATATTTTGTCATCATTGTCTGAATCAGCAGACAAAACACCAACACTGGCAAATTGTGAGGTCTAAACAGAAGGGCTGCTAGTAGAACCAATCCACTGTACACTTCCCATAATCCTGTACTCTTCACGCTGGAGTCTGCAGAAATAACCTGCGACTTTAGTAAATCTTTAGTGCCAGTGAAGACTATGCCAAGAACAAAGACATAAACAAAACGAGCTTCAGTAATCCCCCTAAAGAGGAAATAAAATAAAATATATACATGTATACGTGAATAAGCAAATAAAACAGAAAGATAAGCTACTAGTATCTATTTCACAGGTCAAAAAAAAAGGCTTTTTCAAAAGAGGTGCAAAGCCTCTCTTCAGTCCTGCCAAACAGGCCAAATACTAAGTTTTAGTGCTGGACATTTTTATGAGAGGGCTTTCTCAATTATGAAAACTCTAAAACTAGTTCACATTTAAATAACTACACCTCCAGAGCAACTTTAAGCAAAACAGATTGTGCTAAAAAACTAAACAAACCTAAAATATAAAAATAAATGTCAGTTAATGCAATCAAAATAAATTCGCATTATTACTATTCAAGGTCTAGATCCATAAATACATTCATGTAATTATTCCATTTATATAACATAATGAACTTCCCCCAAAATACTCTTTAGGCTAATATGGAATGTTTATGTCAAGAAACAAATTGATTGAAAAATGATTATTCTTTTAAGTTCTTCGGTGATTTTTCAGAACTCATTAGCATAAAGAGGTATTTCGTTTTAGCCAATCAAAACAGACTAAAAACCAGCCAGGGATCGCATTTGAAGACCCTTACTTCAGTCTGCATATCCCAGATACTTTCTCACCTTACACAGTTGCACACGTATAATACAAACCAGCACATTTTTTCCCTGAAGTCACATATATTTTTCAAATCCCAAAACAAAATGAATGCTCTGGAGTGTCATTAGTATCTACTGCTGTTCATTGCAACTATAAATTGATCTGCCTCTCCATTTCCTGTGAAAGTCAGCTTTTGGAGAAAGCACAGCATCTCACCCAAAAAGCTGACAAAGACAAGGGCCAGTAGGCTTTAAAATTATATTCTAAAAGAATATATTAGTTTTCCCGCTATTCTAAAACAGCAAAGCCCAAGGCACAAAGAAAAGTAAGTGAATATATAGCCATAGAATTTTTAACGTATATACATCTTAATCTTGGAAAAGACAAAAAAATACACATTATCCACACATCTTATTCACAATTTATAATACATTATCTCCTCAGGGAATTTTAGTCCCTTTATACATCAATGGTGAATGGACATGTTCTCCTACAAAAGTAATACAATTCATTCAGAAGTGATGATTCCTGACTCTCTTGGACTTAAAAAAAATATATATGGTGAATTAGACCATAGCACTAAAAACAGTAAGAGTATAGTTACACTTGGTGTAACTGGCATAACTATCTGGCCACAGAAATCATTGCTAGGTAAAATTTCTAAAACTAATTTTCTCCTTTTAAGTTTATATAACCTTTCAACCTTTAGAAGGTCAACTTCCTTCTTTAACAATTACCAGTAAGAGAACTTAAATTCAATTTTTCTTTTCCATATTGGTGAAAGAAAACAAAAAAGCAAGAGGGAAAATAATAGTATTTTGTTCCCTGAAGTAGGAAGACTTTTAAATTCTTTTGTAAAGCACAGAGACTTGTTTCTTCATGCAAACAGTAAAGATTACAGAGTTTCTGTGTTTCTGGCTCATGCGGAAATTACGTGCCCTATTTGAACATCTCTAGTAATTCAGATGTAATTATTACCAATAAGTATTCAAATACATTCATGCAATGTTGGAGAGAGACTATCAGGAAATACAGCAATAGGACAAGGGGTAACAGTTGCAGATTCAGATTAAACATAAGGAAGAAATTCTTTATTGTGAGGGCAGTGAGGCCCTGGCACAGGCTGCCCAGAGAAGCTGTGGATGCCCCATCCCTGGAGGTGCTCAAGGCCAGGCTGGATGGGGCTTTGGGCAGCCTGGGCTGGTGGGAGGCGTCCCTGCCCAGGGCAGGGAGGGGTCGAATTAGATGGCCCGTAAGGTCCCTTCCAACTCAAACTATTCTATGGTTCTGTGAACTTAGAAGTAAAATTTTAGGAAACCGCTTTGGATACTCATCATTATTAAAACAGTTAAGTGATAACTGAGATTAATGGGTTCATAGAAATTTAAACTAAAAAAGAACAGTTTCTCGGCAAAAGCACTTACTTTGTTTGTATCAGCATGGTATATCCTCATCTTCTTAACAGCACAAACTATCATTACATAAAAGAGCTCAGAAAAACTGAAGGCCAAATTACTTCCTTGCATTTTTTAATTTAGAGGTTATTTTAGTGAGAGCCACAGAGGAAGGGACACTCTTCAATTTTGTCTTCTCATCCACCTCCCAACAGCTGTCACATTCAGAGATAACACTTGTTTTCAGCAAAGGGGAGAGGGAGAGTTTCAGAGCAGATTCTCTGTCTTAAATAAATAAGCATCGCTCATGTGGTAGCTATGTACAGCCTTTTTTTTTTTGTCTTAGACAAAGGCACCTGTACTTTGCACCTGGATCTAGCTCCACTTCACATCATGAAAATGCTAGATACCTCCAGCCACATATAAAGGACAGTCCTGGTTTCATTCATGATGGCATTTTAAGTAGAGTTTACCCTTTATCACCTCAGCCATTTAATCATGGTGAGGTAGAACCACTATACTGACACATCAACTAACATCTGAAATCTGCTGACTTATCTACCCTCCTTTTTGGCATGCTGTACTGAGATCCTTGCTGAAGACACTGTGTTTGAAGAGTTAGTCATTTTGGACAAACCCTGCCTACTCTATTGGGCCTTTTACTTTGGGTTTAAGAAGCCCCTATGTTAGCAGGAGTTGCTGCTGTAAGGGACTGGGATCACAGAACACAGAAACATGCCATTCGCAGAGGCAAAAACCTGATTTTGCTAGCCCTGTCAGCTTTTATTCAACAGTTTATGCTGTGGGTCTAAAGGGTATAACTCACTGGGTAGGGCACATCAAGTATTAATAAAAGCACACAAGGAGGATTTTTCAGGCTGCTTAAAACTGCACAAAATGCACCAGTAAGTATACAAAAATGCAAAAATGTGAAGTGTCTTTAGTAATGCCAAGGTTGCACAGTGAGTGCCACAACACTTGGCCAATTTTTCATACAATCATGTGGCACTTAGCCTCTTGGAATATCCAGTTCTACTTCTTAAGCCATATGTGACAAGTGTCTGGAGTCTTGGAGGGTATCTGTACTCACTCACATAAGCACAAGGATATTTCAATTAAAAAAAGGTATTTTAATTGCTCACAGATAAACAGCCACTTAATTTCAAGCTGAGCTTTAAGTATAAGACCACTATACTTGACAATAAAGCTTGTTTCATAACGCTTTGTTTCAAGAATTTTGAGAGTAACTTTCAAATAACTGTATAATCATAGATATATAAACGTTTGACATAATTTAAGCAAATAATCATATTCACCATTTATTAAGGTGAAATAATAAAAAAGCCCTTTATCTTTCTTCCTGTAATTAAAATCAATACACTGACTACAGAATGAATAAGTTTTCAATAAAGGCTTTTGTCTTAAATACTCCACTTATTTCTCTAATTGCATTTCATTTGTAGCTCAATTGCTATACTTAATGTTCTGTCCCACACTCTAGGTTTTTTTTCTTTTATTACAAGGATATTATTCTTCCCCAAAGACTTTACTAAAACACAAACAAAACCAGAGGTTGCACCCAGAAATCAGACATGCTTCCAGAAACATTTTCAAACACAGAGCCAAATCTTGCAGAGAAGATTTCTAAGAAGAGATTACCATTACTTTTGCATCCAGCAGAAACAACACACAATGCTAACACTGGGATAGAACTAGAATTATTTTCAATATTTGGAAAGATGGGACATATGTAAATACATCTGGCTGTATACACACGTAAATATAGTTTATAAAAGTATTTTGTCAGGAAATCTGATCTTCTGTATGTCCTAAGATCTTTTCCTGCAAGTCTTTTTCATATCTTGTGGAACTCTGGTCCCCAGTTAAGAAGCTCCAAAAGAAACCACCTATCAAACTCAAAATGAGTGTGAGAGAAACTTTAATTCCATCCATAAGAGAACTGTTCTATGACTTCTATTATTCCTTCTCCTCCTCACTGAATGTTCTACCTAATTCTGGAAGTTTCCCACAGCTTTGACATATCAGAAAATTTGAAGCTTGCAGAGCCAGGTACAATGCAATGAGAAGAAGTATCATGAGAAAACTAAAGCCACTTAGCTATGTTCCAAAAGTAGTCACTGCTAAAAATGCTAATAGATTCCTCACAGCTACAGCAACTACTTCTGTAAGAAATCTACCATCCACATAAAAATCCTCAGTATACATTGTGCAGCACAGCCTGGGTCTTATGAAGGATTTTGTTATATCTTGAAAAGCCATACATTACACAACAGTCAACTAACTCCAAAAGGAAGATACAGAAAACTAACTCTCCCAATTACTGTATAAGTATTTTTCAAAGCTACGAAATAGCTAAATGAGTTTTGCATACTCTCTGCTAAATGTGGCAAATCCACCTAAAACAAGAGGAGATGGTGTTTTTGGAGTTTCTTTATAGTAAAAATACTAACAATGACTACTGGATTTTCTTCAGATTAGTCCTTATCTGACAGATTTCTAATCTGACAGTTGCATGACACTTCATGAGATTCAAAATTATGCACAATCCATAAAAACTGAGTGCCTACCATCTACAAAACAGAGTTTTATTCATAAGAATCTGATCCCAGCCTAGACATAACATCCTTTTTCACCTTATTCCCTGATATTGAAAGTGTTAACACCTTTCTAGAAATAGATTTACATATCTGTTGATTAACTTACTTTGAAATATCTTTGCTGTCATGTTGCCATGGAAATACAACATTTCCAATGGCTGCCCGGTAACTGTAGACTCCCAGGAGCCCAAGTGCCATAGCAATTTTTGAAACCAGGGAGCATCTTCTTTGAACCAGAAAGAAGATCATAACTAGGGAAACTGCAGCCAAGAAGGAGAGTTCAGACTTATGTTCAGAACTAGAAAGGAAAAAAAAAAACAGACAAACAAAAAAACTTTAAACTACTGCAATTACTGATAAACACATTTGACAAAGCCTTAGCTAAAGCACTGTATTTCCAAATTAATCATTGCACTGACACCTATTATAAACTTTCCAAGAGATAGGGCAAAATATTTTAGTAGTTTCAAAAAATTTTTGTTATTGAGGTTCTATTTATGTGTTCTACCATATGATAGCTATTCTCTTAATTATATAAAAACTGAGCTGCTTATTGCATAAAGGACAAAGGTCTAAGGCTTTTACACTAGGATTTTGTTACTTACGCATTTTGAAAAAACATATTTTGCTTATACCATATGATTTCATTTTCTAGGAAAAGGCATAGAAGATTTTTGCACTATGAACATTTTGAATTAGAACTACTTTCCCTTTTTAAGTAACTGCATATGTATTTGATTTATTTAATTTTTGACATGCAAAATACTGCCTAGGCATAATGACCAGAAATGTACTTATATAGCTTAAAACATATACACAGATAAATACATTAGCATTATATGATAATTATTTTTATATACAATATCACCTTGTAGTGAACCAATACATTCAAGGGATAGAAACTGAGAATTTGCATCATGGCCAAGAGTACAGATACAGTTTGTTTGCTCCTCCTCATTCTATGTATATAACACTCATTACAGAACCAAGAGCATTTCATTAAGCATGTTGCCAAAAGCTGTATATTTAAATCTACAGTGGTATCGCTTAGTACTGCAAAATTTAAGGGGGTCAGGTAAAGATCTGCACTTAATCCCTACTATAGTTAGCTAAGTAATTTCAGAAAACCCCTTATAATCCAAAAGTGGCTAAAATTTGCCTACTGCAAATATTCCCAGTATCCACATGACCCAGAAACACTAATTTTATTAATTTACCTTCTGCTAAGAACATCATTTAGAGCATTAGAACTAAGTGCTCCATCTCTGTCTTCCACACTTCAAAATGCCATTATAAAAGATGATCAACTTCAGCAGACCAATACTGAGCCTGTGCTATTATCTGCATTAACTCTGATCACATTTATGAAATTCCAGTTTTATCTTTGATTTAATCAAAATTACAGTACTTGAAACAGGTTTACTTTCCTGTGTGCTGGTACATGCTTTATGGGGTGTGTTTTGACCAATAGCTTTATCAGCTGTTGCATGAAAAAGTCACAGAGGAAAGAATAAGGGGCAGAAAAATTGCCCTGTTAGTCCTCCATGCAGGACTCAGTCAAACATCTCATACGACTTAGAAGGACTCCCAGGGGATGTACTGCTCTCTGCAGGACAGTAGAGAAAAGGGAGAAACAGAACACTACAGAACATATACTGTGCTCTTAATGTTGCTCCTTGGTAGTATCCTTCTTCTACAGGAAGAAGTAACAGAAGGAATGAATGGACTGCTGCAGAAACCTGTGATCATCGTGAATGCGTAATTTCTTATGATCTATACATAAAGAACTGATTTAGTAGCCACTGCATCTTTCAAATGAACACTTGTGGTAAATTTTAAAAGCTTTCAGGATATGTTCTCCTTAGTTATTCATTGTGTGAGAGTGAGATAAATCAGATATAAACAACAGCACATCACCATCAACTTAGTCTTCTCATCTCTTTATCAATGCACTTCTGTTAAGAGACCCTTGAAGGTAAATCTAATATAGTAACACACACGCACAAAAAAAAAAAAAGCACTCTTACCTGAAAGAATTAATAACCGGTGCTATATCAAGCAAGACATTCAATACCACCTGCAATTTCCTACAGTGAACACTTGAAATCGTACTCTATCCCTCAAAAAAAAACAAAGAAAAATCCTCGTAGAAGGCCCAATGGAAAGCTAGGGTATGTTCAAAGACACACACACACCAGTCACAAATGGCATATTCTTGACTGCTAGCATCGGGGTTTATATCCAGCCTTTGTCCATGTTTTCTGATAATCTTCTCTTACTTTAGGTTAGGAATTTTTTGAACCAAGTAAATTTGTTGCAAAAAAATAACAACAACAAAAATATTACTCCAGTGTTTCAAAGAGCTTGCTGAAGGAACAAATAAAAAGGATTTATAGCAAGCAAAGTCGGGTCAGCATAAACCACCTACAGATTCCAGGTCTTCCAACCACAGTACTTACAGTAAAGCAGCAAGTGTATATTAAATTAGCATGCAGATAGAAACAGGACTGTTGTTGTTCAACACAGAGTTCACCCATTTAGCAAACTTCTACATGATTTTGATATCCCACACAGAAAATCAAGCAGGAACATGCTACTGTTATCCTAGATGAAATGTAGTGGTGTTTGCCTAAGCCACACAATAGACATCGAAGTACCAAGAGTTCCATGAGAAACGACCTGAGAACATGGGTTGGGGTGGGCAGGGAAAGAAAAGGGAAAGAAAGAAAAAACTTTAAAAAACTTTGTATTTTATGCTCTTACTGTAACAGCTGGTGGTCTACACTTTCATATTTCTGGTATCAGAATAAAGATTGAAGACATTTCCTTCCACTGGTTCGACCTCACCTCACTCCTGCTAATGCTAGTGGAGTGAAAGGAGTTATAAATGTGTGCAGAATCACATTTTAGGTGGATAAAGCCTTTTTATTATTTTTTCTTTCATACTACCGGCATACACACTGGATTCACACTGCATGCAAGTTTTTAGGGGGTGGCACTAGTTGGGGGAGTTAAGTACATTACTGAAAGAAAACAATCCTTTTCCCCTGCTGTTGTGCTTCTGGAAACTTCTCTGTAAGCTGGTGCTCCAGCTAACACCTTCAGCCCTTCTACAGGGAGGCATGCAGCATCTAACAACTTCCAAGTATGAGCTCTTACCAGGATTGAACACCTGAACAAAACTATCTGAATACCAAGTAATTAAAAAGAAAACCTTACGTCTGGCAAGGGAATTGTTAGGGATTGAATGTTCTCTTCTGCTTCATCTACTGCCTTTTTTCCTATTGTGCATTTTCTCATTGAAGCATGTCTTTTCTTTGCAGCAGCTTTTGCAGAGTCTCTCTGCAAATTACATAGAACAATTCCCTAATTTCAGCACTGTTGAATGAATCCCTAATAAAATAATAAATAAATAATAATGGTAATAACTCAACATGCTATAAGTAAACTGAATTTCTGTGTTTTGCTTCTGACATTTTTCCATGCACAAACCTGTGCAATAATCCCTTTCCCTCACATGAATGCTCAGCCACTTAAGCACTGTCCAGGCATGCAAAGTGTTGGTCTGAGCATCACTACAGGTATGTCAAGAGTCAATAAAAGGAAAAAAAAGGAAGACTGTTCATCAGCTTATCTTAAAAACACAAAATAATAGAATCCTGGCTAGAAAAAGCCTGAGCAGCTTTAACTCAAACTAACAAGATACACATGATCTGAGTAAGGTTCTAATTTCTTATTACTAGAAAATGTGCTATTAAGACATAACTATGCAAATTGAACGCATACTAAAAATAGAATGACAATCAACCTTCCAGGCTCGCAGTGCATTTTGGGAGGAGGAATAAGTGCTTTATGCAACTCAGCTTATCACCAACTTTTAATTTATGCTATAAGGAAAACACATCATCTGAATCCTGATCAAAACATTAGGGAAACAGACACCTCTACCATACTGTTCTCTTGTGAAGGAGAAGCAACAAAGAAGTTAAAACCTCCAAACAAGAAAAAACGTAAGCATGCTCACCCAATAGGAGTTTGGACCCCCACAAACATCCAGAGGATGCACAAAGATTTATTTGATTCATTGACTAATCTTTCCAAAGCTCATCCTATGGACCACTTCAGACCCAAGAAAGGATTTACCCCACCTACATCCTATCACTCAAGTCCAAAAACTGTGCACTTAAAATGCTGCTATTAATGTAAACTTTTAACCATATAAAGCAACTGAAATACATGTCACCATGGTGACATATCCTGTATTTTCCTGTTAGGCTAAAAGCTGCCTCTGTGATTTAAGTCAGGATTTGGGTTCACAGCATCCTGAGCCAACCTATGCCAGGGTTCTGCTCTTTTTTGAGCTTTCTGAACGCTGCAGAAGTGGCTTTCTGAAAAGAAAAAGGCAGAGCTGTGACAGCCCCAATTACACATCATCTTAGCCTGCCATGGTATTGCACTCTGGACTTTTCCAAAACTTTTTTTTTTAAATCCCAAAAAAGTAGAATTTTGAAAAACCATTAATTCTTTCCCATCCACATTTGACAGGCAAGTAGGTCTTTTTAAACATTTCTTGACAATGACAGATAGAAAAAAAAAAAGGTGCTTATGCCTGCATCAGTTCAGAAGATGCACATACTTATTTTGCTTCGACGTGAATTTCAACAGCAGCAGCGCTGGCTTGCACACTCGCCCATTCTTGCAATCCTGTTACTAAGCCAGCCCATGTACTGTGCCAGAACACATGCCTGTTAAGCTGCATGGTAAATCAGAGTGGGACGTGATCCATCTGAAAGACAAGAGCTTCCTACACCAGATTTGGTTATTTTTCCAGCCATATCAGTTCACCACACTGACAAAGTAACAACTGTGCTGGTAAAATAAAGGGTCTGTGATGGGAACAGCATGGCAGTAGGTACCTTGCATGGTAAGGAAAGGGCTTTTTAATATACCACTACTGCCAAACAAGCAATCGTAGCCTAAGACTATAGCTGCAGGACCTTTCCTCTTCTATTTGCTTTAAGATCCAAGCAAATACACCCGATTTGAATATACATATATGATTAGGAGGGAAACACAGAGAGCAGTTCACCAGTGACATTCTGAAGTTTGAGATTTGATATCTAGCTGCCAGTACTCCAGCTTTTCTGATGGGGGAGGCAAACAGCTTTAATAACAGGATTGTTCTGGCTTTATGAAAGGGAAGTTAATACTTAATCAACCTGAGAGAATTCTGTAAGGAGACGACGAGGTCGGTGGAAGAGTGGAGCACAGGCAGTGGTGTTTATCTCAGCTTTATCGAGGCTTTTAAGTCTCCTGCAACACCCTCACAGGCAAACTGATGCAGTAGGGTTGAGATAAGTGGACAGAGAGGTGGACTGAAAACTGGCTCAGCTGCCCAGCTCACAGGCTTCTTCTGATCAGTACCACAAAGTCATTAGTGAGCTGCATGACAGGACAGACCAGCAAGTCTGCACACAATGCAAAACGGGAAGAGCTGCTGGGATACCACAAGATGGGTGTGCTTTCACTCAGGGGGGACTCAACACACTGCAGAAATGGCCTGACAACAAATCCATGGAGTTCAGCAAAGGCAAATGCCAAATCCTGTGCTTCAGATGGAGGAAGCGCACAGAGCAGGATGGGCTGGGGGCTGACCAGGCATACAGCATATTTTCAGAGATGGCTCTGAGCACTGTGGTGGACACCAAGTTGAGGCCTTGCAACAAAGACTGTATTCAGCATTTGGGTCTGAATTAGGAAAACTATTACCAGCAGGTCGAGCAAGGCATTTCTTCCTCTCTGTTCAGTCCTGCATCCAGTTCTGGGCTTCCCAGTACAAAGAAAGACATATGCAGTAAAGGACAATAAAAATGAAAGCTGAAAACGCTGGGACTGTTAAGCATCAAGAAGAGAAGGCTCAGCATAGACCTCACCAAACCCAACAGGGGTTAAAGGGTGCTAGAAGATGACTCCAGGCATGTCTTAGTGGTGCCCAGCAAAAGCACAAGAGAACAGATCAATACATTCAAGGAAGACAAATGCAGCTTTTCAGCTGCAAGAGTATCAAGTTCTTCTTCCATAGCACTGTGGTATGCGTACAGTCCAAGAAAAGGGCTGCCAGTCTGAAGATGTCTGGCCCAGGAAGTTATTGGGCAAACAAATCTTTGGAAAATGTTGAGGATTCATCTTTTAAAAAATTCTCCCAGTCACAACAAATCACAGCTAATGCTGTATTTACAATAGGACTGACTGGTCACACACTGACTTAGCTCATTATGGAGTTCTCTGTGCTGTGGACTCAGGACTGGGAATATGACATTCCATCCTCAATCCCTCACCTCATCACACGAGGGTAGCATGGTGAAAGCTCTGGTACAGAGCAACTACTGTAATGCAGTAAACTTCCTCATAAGTCATGTCTCTCAGCACTCATGCCTGTCACAGCAATTAGCATTTTATCTGTGAGGCTGCCAATATGTAACTAGTCTCATATTAGTTCATTTACTCATGTCGCTATTAATGAATGATGAATGACATTTCATCAACATGTTGTAAGATACTGGCAAGAAGGATCTTTATCTTACACAGCAAAGCCTCCCCATCTGCTGTCTGTAAAACACTGACTAGTCAGTTGCAAGGTGTTGCTTCTCCATCCACCAGCTGACATACAGAAAACAGTTCAAATATTAAGTACTTTTTATCACTGAACAATGTCTCTAGTTTTTCACAATACTAAAAGGCAGTAAGAGTAAAAGCCTTTCTTGGTGTACTTCAAGTTGTAAGAAATTCCCTTTCTCTGTTTATCATACTACATTTGAAAAATTCCTTCAGTTTTCCACCCACACATGAAATGATTGTGACAGACAAGGAAGAACTTTATGTGCAGCACCTTCTCCAACAACTTCATAAAGTCTGGAATTGAGCAGAACCTTCTGTTTTAGAGTTAATGGTTTAATTCTGTTAAGTGATTTTTATTTTCCCAAACCAGCCACTGTTGACTTACACAAGGAAAATATTTACTTTTTGCCTGTGATAAACCTAACGTGTATAATTGACATTAATTAGATAAGTCATGGTGCAGGGCTAAGATTATAATCTATTGATAGTACACAAGGAATTACACTCACATGAAGCAGCTCTGAAAAATTCCTTATGTTGTTTCACTGTTTATGCCATTTGCATGCTTACAGCGCTTTCTGTATAGAGATTGTATAGAAATGTATACATATTTCAACAAGCAAAACATACATTAATGTATAAATAATAAGACAGTAAGTATGATAATAAATCAGATACCCACCTTGTCAGCCAGTGCCCAAAGTCTGGCCGATGAGCCCATTGGACTCCTGTCTGATTCAAGGATCGAAGTAATCGACAGCAAATGAGAATGATCCATGGACTCGCTAAGCTTATCCATTTATCTGATCCCTTAATGAATTCAGCTGAAGATGCAACCTTGTCCAGTTTTGAATTACCTGATGCTGGTACATCTATACTCTTGCAATCAGAGGCTTCCCCGATACCATCAAAATTTTGTTTCAAACTGATGCCATGCTGAGGGTCACATTCTGTCAGAAGAAAATGGTTTCTACAAAGTTCCTGACACAGTGCCAAACAAAGAGTATTGATAAGAAAATACCAGGTTTGATGTTCCTCTTCTATAAAACTGCTTGCCCCCAAACTCAAAACATGGCCAATTGTTCCAGCCAGCATCAGCACATCTACTTCTGACCAGCTGGAACTGGACGCAACTGGATTCTGCAAACAAGAACACAGAACAGTGGTGAAAGTTGTATAAAAACTTCACTTGTTTAAGCATTCAAAATGTGCTTACGGCAATTTCCTCTCAGGAAACAAAATAAACAGCAAGACAAGTTATTTCCACCTTGACAAATCCTGCGAATTTCTGAAAGGTTCATTTTATGGTAGCCTATTTAGATAGTGTTGCAGTATAATCATACTGTTTAGAATGACATTCTGTTTAAGGTAAGAAACTTCATGCATAATCTCAGCTGAACAGATTCAAATCCCCTACCACCCTGTGACAAAAGGTCTGAAACAAGCTCTCTCCTTGCTGCATATTTGTAGAAGTAAAAAAAAAAAAAAAAAAAAGAAAGAAATCTTTCAGAAATCAAAATTGCAATACAAATAATAGGTACTTTTCTAATAGGTTAAACCTGTACTGTCCGCAACCCGGTACAGTGACAGCCTTCATTACTCAAATTAACAGAAGTTACTTGCAGACATTCTGCTGTGCCTCCTGTCCTTGCTTAGCTTGAAGTGCGTCTGTCAGCACAAAATCCGTTATGAATCTTATCCACCTATTATTTACTCCACATGCTGAATCTATCTAAAGCCACAAAATTCGTTGTCTGATGCCTCCATTAGTTCGACTTCTCGCTCACAGCAGCTACTCGAAGTGCTCCATCGTCATGGCACGGCTAAAAAGAGAGTGTGAGGGTATGGGGAAGGTGGGACCGTCTGGTTCATTGGTAATCGGGTCAAGGAGCTTTTCTCCTCATGGGGAAGGGGAAGTAACAGGGAAAGCCATAAAGAAAACACACAGAGATAGGCCCCTGATTAGTAAGCACTAAAGGAGACAGTGAAGAGGACCAAAACTCCTCAGCCATTAATTGGTGGGCCATTAAGAAACCACAGGCATACATCTGAAGAGCATTGGCCTGGACTTTGTAAAAGATAAGGGAAAATGGCAGCATCGGTATTACCAGTGTGAGGGGGTCTGTGAAGCTATGCAGACTGATTAAGGAACACTTCAGGGAAGCGATAGAGCTGGGGCAGAGGGGCTGCAGAGGAGCAGGCTGGCAGGATGGGGAAGGTGAGAGGAGGAAAGATAAAGGGGGCCGGCCACACACCGGCAGGCGCCAGCCACCACACTGATCCCACTGACAGCCCTGCACCTCACCGCTGTGGCCCACCCTCGCTTGTCAGAGCCCCTGCTCCCTGTCCTTCTGTGCCACTTCACTCCCTGTCCCACATCTGGGGGCTGCAAGGTCTCACGGCAAGCAACGCCTGCGGCCATAAGGCTGGAGGGCCTCATGACAGGGGCAAGAGGGTCTGGAGAGCATAGGGCTGTATGAGAGGGAGGTCAGAGGGACAGCGACTGGAGGGACCTCCGTGCGTGTATCTTTGCTGAATTTAATCCACTGAGTTATGAGTGTCTACGTTTAATTTGCCAGAAAATTCCAAGCCCAACTAGGCATGAGTTAGAGGAAAACCATAGGAAGATTCAAAGTCTCAGCTGGGAAAGTACTCACCTTCCTGCACTGTTTCAATAGCTTATATTAGAAGAATACAGAAACTCACTAATCTGGGAGCAAGTAACACAAGAGTGGATATAAACATACTGATAACCCTGAACATCCAGACGCAATTCTGAAGCCTCCCTTGCTCTTAAGACTGACTGAGGGCAGCACATGTATTTGTGTTCAATATTCACGTACATACAACATGAAGGGGACAATAGCTACACCTGACCCAAGAGGCTTGTTAACACTACCGTGATTTTGCTTTGAGGAAAACAACTTTTGCAGAATTGAGACTGAATAAGACATATGAGGTTGAATGCAGAAGGTATAATTAAAGTTATCACTTATTCATATCACCTTCATTTATTGTGCTGTTGAAGAAATACACTAAAGTCACTGCACTTAAGAAACAAAACTAACCAGAGAATAGTCATTATCTCAAAAACAGCACAAGCTCACAATCTAAACTGATTAACATTTGAAATTTCTTTGGTGCCCTATAAGATTACTCCTTTTTGTTTAGTCCTCTGCTTTGCAAATCAGAAACCATAAACCACATTTTGGAACAAAAAGACCAGGTAGAACTGTAGTCAGTGCAGAGATTAAAGACCATGAAATTCACAAACACTAAGACATGAAGAGTAAGTAAATCACTGAACTATGGAAAGCTTAAACTCCAATGCTGACCTTAAAGGTTTTCGCTGACACTAAATGGTGACAGCGCGCATAAGCATCATCTGCTTGCAGAGTATAAAGGAATGTGAGATTCTCAACAAATGAGAATACAATACAATTTCTTGTATGTCTTCAAATGTCTTCAATACAATCCATTTGTCTCCTTTATGAGACATAAAATCTACATAAGCATTGCTCTCTTGTATGAGTTGGCTGTCAGCACCGACAGGAAAATAAGTTCATTGGGCTGAACAGTAGGTTCATTAACAGAAAAAATGATGTGTAATCAACAGGGAACATGCAACAACCTCCTAAAAATGGTGGCATTAGTGTGAAACATCCCCGTGTTTGAAGTTCATATTTCATGCCTGCTTGTCTGACTAACAATTCCGGTGAAGATAACAAAATTTACTCCTCCATTCACTTCACAGGGTTAAGTCCAACGGCATTTATCGATAAGCCACATTTCAGACCAGAGTTATTCACTCGAGCAAATCTATGCAAGATGAAAAATTATGCAGCAAATTATAATCTCCTGAGCCTTCATGGTCTAAGAAATACTGAAAATAGCTTCATCAAGGTTTTCTAAATTTACTGGTAATCCCTCATATGAGCTGTGCCATATTAGGAATGTTATCATTACAGTTTTTTATGCAGCCTGACCTTAGATTACTTGGATTGTTCTTAGTTTTTAGACCTGTTTTACAGGCACAAAACTGTTGATCCTACTCTATTCACTGCTCTCACTTCCTAGCTGCTGAACACCCTCCAGTCCTCAAGAACCCAGTAGGCACTCCATGTACTAGAAACTTGGTAGGACTTGCACCACTGTCTTGGCACACAGATTTTGCACAGTATCTTTGGTTTATGAAATTTCTATATGCCAGACTTTAAATCTAAACCTCTAATTTGCCATGCCAGGGTAGCTTTAGTATTTGATATACAAGCAGTAGTAATTACATAATACAGAAACAGATCTGCTTGCCAGATCTCTGACATCTTTTACTTGTTTGCACAGCTACGAATAAACAAACAATAGAATCTATGTACATTTTCTTCACTTTGAGATAAAACATCCTGCACCTTATCTTCCAAGCCCAATTCCAGTTATGGGCCTTCTGTCCAGTTGAGAGTGAAGCTCTTTTTCACCAAAATTAATCACCCATATTTAGTGCCAAAGGAGTTATACAATCAACCTGGTCTAGTGTGAGGTGTCCCTGCCCATGGCAGGAGGGTTGGAATTAGATGGTCTTTAGGGTCTTTTCCAACCCAAACCATTCTTTGATTCTATGATTTTAACTACAATTTACACTACAATTGTGCACAATGAAGCTTCTCAAAAACTGTATTTGAAAATATTTGGCTTACAGCTTCTATTATCAAAAAAACTATTGATTCTGATTTCTATCAGAAAAAAAAATGCAACTAGTTGTAGTAGTAAATACTGTACTTAAGAACTGGTATGCAATTAGAGCAAAGCTATGAACCAGAAGTTAACATTTTTGAGTATCTTCTGGAAATCATAAAGGGCTGCAGAACTATTTAAAACCTGAAGAGCCATTAAAAGAAGGGACTGGTGCTGCTAGAAACATAGTAATCAGAACCTATAAATAACAGTCAGGAAGCAGATGCTAACACTGCCTGCACTGGTCTTCAGAAAATTCATGAACTTGGTAATCAGCTTCTATATACAGTCACAGTAGAAGAAAAAAAAAAAAAAACAGCATTACAAATGAGAAGCACTTGAAAGAAATCTTTAGATGTGAACGGAAACAATTTAAAGAAAAAAAAAAAAAAGCTCTGAAGTCATTAAAAGGAGAGCTTATCTTAATTACTTTTAAAATACCTGCATTTTATCATATAGCCTAAGCTTAGAGAAGGCTTTTAGATTTTTTTACTGGCAAAACCCTGATTCAGGATTCTTCTCCTGACATCGGAAAAGCAGGATTTCGGAGCTCTTTCAGATGTGGAGCACATATGCAGACTATGGAGAAGCAGTGGTCATGGGCACTTGGATTTAGACATTTTTTTGTGTAATAGCTCTCCTAATTTTAACAGCAGGCACTTTAAGATCAACAGAGTATATACAATCAGCTTCTCCCCCGAAGTCTAAGTGTTCTGCTGGAAAAGGGGATAGAGTCGAGGACACAACGGTGTGCATATTTTACTGCTTGTGCTTCAATTACCAGTAAATAATCTTTCACACCCACAATGCAGGCAACGCCAAACCGTTCTCTGCTCCCTTTCACATTTCCCAAGCTCTATCTTCACATAAGCAGATACCTGCAAGAAGCCATAACATCCTTCTGCAACAGCCCTTAGACTGGTAAAAATGTAAATCCAGTCCAGGTCACTGCTTTTACACACGTCAGGAACGGAGGCACTAACTAAACGTGCAGCATATTTCAGGCTTGCTCTGGAACTTGAACAGGAACAGCAAAGCTTATTTGACTACAGGATGAGATATGGATCCGCCCACCCAGTCATTTATGGAGTAGGATGAAGATGGTTTGGTGAAAATGGATTCCTACAGGTCTGGATACAAAGTCATGTCTGCTTTAAGACACACTTCAGCTTTCCACATCTTCAAATCTGCCTCAGGTACAGGAATAGAGACACAGCACTAGAATGAAGAATCCAGTACTTTTCACTTGTACCAACCCCAACTTTTGGAGGGGGTGGTGAGTGAAGGTCTTGGAAACATTGCTGAAATCGTCCTCGTTCATGTATTACCAACTTGAATCAGCTGATCTGATCATCTGCTGGTATGCCCTGACCTCCCAGCTGGCTAAAGCTCCAGAACATATTTCTGATTCATGATGCACCAATTTCATACATTCTCCCTTCTTTCCAGTCCAAGCGGGAAATACTTGAATTGATAACTGTCCCATTACAGCCAAATGGAGATATTTTCCAAGGTGACATGAAAATAAGCATTGTCATGTCCAAGAGACACGATCTGTTCACTTCCATAAAATGACAGAGGTGTTACTGCCTGTGTAAATAATTATTTTTTTTTTCCCCACTTCTTTCATTCCAGATGGGTCTCAATTGCTGGTACCAAAGAGGAAAAAACAACACGTTGCTGCTGAAACATCTTTCTTTAAGCAACACGGAACTGGGCTTATAGTGCTACATCAAATGGGGAGAAAGCTCTAACTGCTGTGGTCTCTTGTAAGCAGAACGTGGGATGCTGCAGACAAATATACAAATACATAAAACTGGGTACGATCATAGAATTATTAGGGTTGGAAAAGCCCTCCAACATGTCCCAACCATCCCACTACCACCAGTGTCACCCACTAAACCATGTCCCTAAGCACCACGTCCAACCTGTCCTTGAACACCCCTGGAGACAGTGATGCCACCACCTCCCTGTGCAACCCGTCCCCATGCCTGACTGCTCTGTCTGAGCAGAAATGTCTCCTCATTTCCAGCCTGAACCTCCCCTGGCACAACTTGGGGCCATTCCCTCTAGTTCTATATAGGATGTCATTTCTAATCAGTCTATTTTTGCTCAATTTGTTCTCAAAGGCAAATGTGCAGGAAAAGCAGGGGTAGGGAAGGAAAAAAAAAAGAGATAGAAGAGAGAGAGAAAGGCTTCTCACACGTCCTCTCAACTGCATTTCCTAGGCATAGCTGACTGGGTGGAATCATCAGAAACGGCCAACAGTTCATGGTTGTGGAAGTTCCTCAGAACGACTGATTCTAAAAGTGGAACAGCATAGATTATGTGTGTGCTGCTTTTAATGTCTTCCTTGATCGAATTATCTGTGTCCATCAGGGAGGCAGCAATTAATTCATATCATAAGGAAAGCCATTTCACCCAACTCAAGTTTTGAACACTAGGAGACATTTTGCAATTGCTGCTGTGATCACTGTTAGAGTATATGTATTAGCAATACATAAGCCACCTGCAGGAAGTTGTTTACACCAGCAGCTGCCTCTCACCAGCAAGGATGTAAATGTGCCAAGAACAGGTGGGAATGAAACCCTTAGACTCAGGCCAAACAAAAAAGGCAGACCCATACCTGTAAAATAATATATGGTAACAGCCTGTTCTTAATTTAACAAACAAACAAACAAAAAACAAACAACAATTAATGCTGGGGGAGCAAAAAAGGCTGAAGCTCTAACTTTTGCTCCTGATTTACTGAAGCACAACCACAACTTGGGGAGACCCAAAAAATCTGGACCAAAGCCCTCTCAAAGGAGGACTCAGTGAGCTCCCTGAAGCTTCCTGGGCAAGAGCAGGTACCAAAAGGCCAACAGAGGTGAAAGATCTGCACTATATTCACATAACTCTTTCTTTGATCAGCTCAGTGCGTTGCTAGTTCTGGCACCCAAATCTGGGAGCATGAAGCTGGAGGGCTCTCTCTGGTGTTGGGTCTGCAGTTCATGAGTGCTTGACCCTTAAGGTCAGCTTCATCTCACAAGCAATGAATAAATAAATAAAAAATGAACCAAAATGACAGAATGACAAAGGGACAGGAGCTGCCCTGCTATTAAAGAGTTAAAAAGCTTTCCCTGAGGAAATACTGAACAAAAACTTTGAAACACATCTTAAGCAGTGGCTGGTTTATAACAACTTTGCATGGTACTTCCAGCCCACACGCTGTAATGTTGAGTATGAAGGAAGGGTACACTGAGTGTGAAGGAAGGAATATGCACAAAAATCAGAAAAGACAGAAGGTCTCCAGGCATCTGTGCTGAAGGCACAGGCAGAGAGCAAGCCTCCACGTAGCTTATCACTTTAAAGTCAGGAACATGATGCTTTGCATCACCTCCTGTTCTACAGAGGCTTCAAGCTCTGATCTTAGACATGCAAGGAAAGTATCTACTCATTTTCTCGACTGACCTCATGGATAGGTGTAATAGTCAGAAGTGCAGTACTTATGTTTGAAGGCTAGTCTTTTATCTTTAATGAGACTAAAGATAAGTGCCCATTAATGCCCATTACTCCTACAGTGGTGGGTGTCACAAAGGATTAACTCATCTCTTGGCATGTAAGGAAGATTTCAGGTCAAAAACAAACCGAGGTGCTCTGAGACTATCATTCCAGAGGGCAAAGCTAAAAGCCACTGTCATCATTCTCAACCCAAGTGAAGTAGAATTGTCTGTAAATTTGATGTAGGTTTAGATCATCATCACTTACTGTTGTTAAAATTAGAAAAAAGTATTAAGATGAAAAATGAGCTTGTTTCCCATAGTTACTTGTTTTTTTGTTCTTTACTGTTTTTTGTTGTTTGTTTTTTTTTTTTACTACTGCTTATTTACTATTTGCTTTAATATTTTTTGTACTATATTCCTTTGTTTACTGTATTCCTTTGTTGCTATTTACTTGCATAGCAAGTAAATCTTAAGATTCTACTCAAAACACTGCATCATTAATTATGATTTCAAGGCCATATTCTTTTACTTTCTACAACGAGGAATTTCTACCTTGTTTACACTGAAACAAATAAAGGCTGTAAGTAGTACAACTCAGAAAAGGCTGAAGTGAACTGAGTCCACAGAGAGACTAACGCATCCCTAAGTACTAACTAGCTTTAACAAACTGTACAATTCAGCAGATCTGTCCTTTCACATTGATTAATTTTTCTTTCTTCTTTCATTTGCCCTTAAAAATAATCCACAATAGCACCATTAGGTTTTGTAACAAAACATTACGCCTAGTTTGACACAAAAAATTTCAGTACCAAAAGTAAACTGTGATCTACACTTAGAAAGCCTATTCTGCTAGCAGTTATGGTTGAGATGAAACTTCTTTCCCTGACATCATTAAGCAGAAGTGATAGCTGACTTTTTACTCTGCTTTAGCCTAAGTGATCAACATACACATGTAAATCTTATGTTACCAATAAATATAAGTATGAAACAACAAGATCTATTCAAACTCCTTTTTGAATCATTTTTAATACACTAGAATGAATTGCACCAAGGAAAATTGAAATGGGGGGGAGCAGCCTTTGGGAGAAAATGGTATTACTTTTAGCACAAGGCTTCTCTCAGAAAAACAGTATTTCCAGGAAGGAATGACACAAATTGAGAAAACTACAGAAACAAAATGATAAAGTATAACTGGTATAGCTTTAATAATAAACATCAGCAGCCTTACTCAAAATAATTTAAATATAGTTAAGCTCAGGAATTCCAGTATATAGTTCCACTGACTGCAATGTTAACCTCTGCTCAGTAGTGACTTTTCTCAATTCTGTTGAGCAGAGCAGTTACTACGTAGCTCTGCAAGGCAAAAAGTCTGCTTTTTAGCTTGAAAAAGTGTTATTGCAAAATATCATACATCTTGCATTAATTGCAGCTGTGAAACATCACTGTGTAACAGCATAAAATTAGTACACGGAACTGTTTCTGACCTCATAAATTCAACTGTAAAATAACGTACACTAATTAGAACATTTCTTAAAGTAATTTGAAAATAAGCACTCCTATGATTTTCTTTACAGGAATCTGTTATTGTGCCACAATGAACACACCACATTTCAACACTAAATTATACTAATTACATTACAAATTACAGTTCCTTTAAGGACACACACAAAACCTCCATAAAACTTTATTAGAAAGCATGCCATGAAGAGCAAAACATTTTGAACCATAACTAATGCACGGTCTCACCTTCACTGGAAGTCTGGAATTCTCAAGGATCTTTCCAATGGCAGATAAAATACCACACATGAGTGCAGAAATCAGCATCATCACTCCAAGTGCTGTTAACCAGGACATGCTGCAGAAATAGCATAAACTTTCTGCTGATGTGCACACAATGACATGAACCGCACACAGCACCAGACACATCAAGTAAAAGAGCAGAGAGAAGAGCGAAGGGGAGAGGGGCACTTCAAATTCTGCCCGGCTGCTCAGAGCTTTTGGAACGCTGAGCAAAAGCAGAACCAGAACCTAGGGAAAAAAATAAAACAGAGAATTAACACGTAAAGAATCAGCATTAGCTAAAGCATGCAGTGAGAATTCACACAAAAATCATGCTGGTGCCATCCATGTCACTCTGTTATGATCTAGTATGATCACTTGATCTAAAAAGCACTGTGCAACAATATACTGGATGGTTTGACTTGCCTAAGTTATCACCATATAAAGGGGAGAAACAAAGATTGTATTTTCATTTATTGATTTAAGGGCTCAGATGCATGATTTATCAGGGTTTAATATATTACCACGTGCCTCCTGACCTGCTTTGACTGACCACCTGCCTGATCTTGATTCACTGTAAGAGTTTTAATAACTCTCTACAAAATTGTTTTAACTCTCAATACTGAAATAGTTCCTAAACAAACAAATTTGACTCATTTATAAGTTGTAAATAAAAAGTTAAATGCGCGTTCTACCAAAGGCCATTTACCTTACGAGTTATAGATTTCTTGCTGAGTTAAATAGTTTCCTAAGACAGGGAGAGTTCTCATGCTACCACGGAAGTATATGCTGTTTTTCAAGCTTACAAATTCTGGTATTTATTTTTGTCCCTCTCGTTGTCCTACTTGATTTACCAGCTTCACTTCTGCTTTGCTATAATCTGCACACAGTTGAGGCAGAATGTCAGATTTCCTCTCAGGTAACTGTAGCAGTGGAATTAATTTGAGTAATTTCTGCTACCCATGGACAAGTAAAGAAAAATTCAGCCACACGCTAAGATATTTTACAACAGACACAAATGGACTACAGAGAGCTCAGTATGCTTGTTGTAGGGCATGATTAAAACAAATTTTAAGAAAGCAGTTATATCAGAGCACTGCCAACCTATAATCTTTCACTTGTGAAGACCGGTATCTAAAACTTACCCATCCATACAGTAAGATATAGTAAAATAGATCAAACTAATTGCAATGCATTGCAGCAGTCCATTCTTATTCATATTGTACTTTCCACAACTCACTTGGTTATGAAAGCATGAGGTTTCACATTACCATACTGGCTCATTTTTACTGTTTAACTCAGGACTTAGAACAAAGCATTCGTGATACTAAAATGCTCAAATCATAGTTACCTATAAATCTAAATTTAACTCACTGAACAAATACAGTTATTAGTTCATGTTCCAGAGGTATTCTCCTCACAGAATGAACAGCATTTATAGAATCACGTAGCTTGTAGTCACCTGTGAGATTCCCTGCCTTTCTTTCTATGGTTGCGGGTGGAAAATACATACAAAACTAAACAATTTTAAAAAGCAAGGTGGTTTCTTGAGTGCTGCACTGGGAAAAAAAATGCAGACGTTTTGTACTGTCTTCTAGTGACACTAGTACAAGCTCTTGTTAACCACACTTTCATAGCTAATTAGTAGCTGCATGTTTCTATCGATAAAGGCCCATTGATTAAAACACCTGAGGTCTGTTTTGTTGAAAAAGTAAGTACCAGCAACTGCATTCCCAAAAAAAAAAAGAATTCCAGTGCTTTGGGTACAAACTGTCAGGAGTTTGAATCCTTAGGTTCCCAAAGAAAAGGAAGAAAAGGAACAAGAAAAGACTATAAGTACTTCAGTTTTATCGTGGGCACTGTCCATCTCCAGATTTGCTATCTGTAGATTGGTAGCAGAACCTACCATCTCGCCTCGCACAGGGACTGCGGAACTGACTCCCGAGAAGTGGTCAGCAGAATGATAAAGCACACCAAGCAGTCCATCAGAAAGCCATTTCCAGTGTGTTCCGTACACAGAGCACAAGGCATACAAAATGAGGCCTTGCATGCAGCCCACAAGGCTTGAGGAGACTCAAATACAGAAGAGCTGCCCATCTGATCCATTCCAGACACTGAACAGAACCACAGGTACAGCTATTACATAGCCTTGTAGGTAGACAGCACTGCTCACAGGCTAGGACTAAATCAAGACAGTAGTGGGCATTTCCATCCTAGGGAACAATGCTTATTCTCACAAAAGTTGACAGTGATGTTACCTAAAAGGTAGGTGCACATTTCTGTATATAACGTTCAGTGTGCAGGCATGGTATCCCCTCAGCATTCTTCCCAAAGCATTACCACTAAGGTATCTGATATTTCCAACACTTGAGATTTCCCCAAAATATCAATTGCAAATAACCACTTAAAATTCCAGACGTGGGATATCTTATCTTTATTCCTACATGTGATACGGAATGGTGACCCAGCACCTTTCAGCAAGTACCTATTCTGGGGCTCTACGCCTATCAGTACAAAGAATAATTCTTGCAATGGTTAAAAAAACAAAAACAACAACAAAAAAAAAAAAACAGCCACACAGGGTCTTGCTTATTCTAAATAGCTGTAATTGTCAGATAAAGAGGAAAAAACGGGAATTTACTTGCAGATGCCTTCTGGTTTTGCTTTAATGCAGGAAGTCTCCTTAAAAAGTAGGAAGATAACTGATATGGGAGTAATTTAGGTTGTTGTAGCACATCTACATATTTACTGCACCTATTTACACCAAAACATAACCACCTTATATCAAAAGCTCTGTTGAATAATTTTAAATGCTAAGTTATTCTTTAAAAAGAATATTATGCTCATTCTTCAAATACAATCAGCAAACTGCAGAAGAGTTAACTCTGAAGAGTATGCACTAAGTAGTCAAAAAATAGGAACCTTCATGTCTTGCACTTAGCTTCTTTCCCCGGAAGATATATTTTCATACCTCCATAACAATAACAGTCCCCACCATCATCGAATACATGTCATATTGTGCCACTTGTTTGCTTAGGGAAGCACTCAAAGTCTTCAGGGCCTCCAAATATTGCTTCAGGACCTTTTTGCCAAGATTCATGAGTATTTCTGAATTATTCCCCTCTAAGTACAGTTTGATCCAGTTACCATGGGACTTCTCTGCTATCTTAAATTGCTCATATCCAGGATCTAATGGGAAAAAAAGAAAAAAAAAAACACAGGTAAGAGGATCCATGAATAAAGGAGGATAATAGGAAACCTAATCATACTTTTGTATATTCTTGTATGATCTGAAGAAAACTTGCTACAGGAGTTTAAACTTCTTTCATACACAGAAAGTTACATTATCTTCCTGCAGCAAGGCCATAATGAGACAGTTACTCAGAACAAAACCAGTTAATCCCTAATCAGATGGAATGTCAAGGCCTCTAAATGTGACAAATGTATTAAAATAGCCATTTACTTTTACAAAAGGTTTCCAGAACAAACATATCCAAATGCTTTAGATCCTGAAAAAGGCATGTTTCCCACTGGAGCCACTCATTATCCAGACTGTATTGCACAAGCCAAATGGGAAATCACCAAACTGCTAACCTCTGGAGAAAATATCAAAGGACATACACCCAACATATTAGGAACCCTGATTTTGCTACAAAGATAATGAGAATCAGGTGGTAACACCAACAGAAACACAAAATAAGCCAAATTCTGAAACAGTAATAGGAAAGTTAAGAGCAGTTAAGTGCGCAGTTTGTCTTCAGGCATTTGGATTACAGAGCTGGTGCAAAGCAATGCTCTCCAGTGAAATTCAGTATTTTGGCTACATGGGAAGGGTTGACTGCAGTCAAACCTGGTTAAAAAAAAAAAAAAAAAAAAAAAAAAACAGAAAACCTGATGTCCACCAACCTACAGAAGCAAGAGGCTTGCAGTTAGGTGATTTCATAATGTCCTATCCACATCTAAAGGAATTCTGACCACAAGAAAAACCTAGTGGGAGGGTTAGGTGGAGGGGAGTGGCGAAACAAATCTTACTTTACAGTAAACGTTCTGGTTGATATATGACAAAGGTTGGGTTTGGAGGGACAACGATACAAGACAATACAGAGGATACAGAAGAGGACTCTATAATTTTTCTTCTAATGTTGATTTTGTCAACTTTCCCTTTAGCTAAACATTAAACAAAAAGCTGCAGCATACAAAAGAATGAGCCTTAGCATTTTCACTTCCCAAAAAGATTGACTCAGCTATGACAATAACCAGATTGTGCAGGCATAAACAGAAGAGACATCAATTTGTGGAAAAAAAATAATAGAATAATTTATCTTTATAAGCATAAAGGTTAAAAATAAATAAATAAATTCTGCCAAAACCATTATTTTGGGTTGTACATCCACTTGATGAGTATTCTATTCACTTCATATAAGTTTAATTTCAAGAGCATGTATTAGCAACACAGCAAATTACATCAGTTGCTGTGTTTTATTGTAAATGTTGACAGCAGTATTGTTTCTAAAAGCACTTAAAAGCATGCTTTCCTTTTTCATTTTATAGGTGCATCATCCCATACTCCAATATGCCATGTGGTATTTAAAAATCAGTCACTGAGTAGAGTATGTAATCACAACATAAACTCCATCAACAACAAAGGGAACTTCTGTTTTACTGGACATTATGCTGTGTGAGCATTCACATGCGTCTGTATTTTTTGCTAGAAGTAAATGTTTAGTTTTCCTTTACATCAATAACTGTAATAAAATATCCCAAGTTGGAAGGGATCCGAGGATCAAGGACAAGGATCACTAAGTCCAAATTACAGCTCCACACAGGATACTTATTATTTCCATGCCATTTCACTCTACAGTTAATAACTTAAGGGTAAAATGGCCAACTTGGAAATTGTTATATAAAAACATCACCCTCTTATCTCAAAATCCTTAACTTCTTAGCTAAAAGTAGGGCAAAAGATTTGCTGTGTAGTATCAGAAGCCAAGAGTGAAAGCAGTGACTGAAATGAGTTTGGTGTCACAAAAACTTAAATTACAGCTAGTTTTTACTCCTGATAGATCAACAATGGATCAGATTTGGTAGAAACCATTATGCTGTTTGCGAGACCTTTTCAGCAAAGCAAGATGTACATTATTAAATTCAGACACATTTTTCATCTTACTTCAAGTAAGTGAAGGTGAATGCAGCATTTCTGCTTACAATTCTTGTTATGAAGGAATTGTGTTTAAGGTTTGTAAGTCTCTTATCACTACAAAACAGTGATCTGCTACAGGCTGAATCAACATGAGAATTTCACAAAGTAATGTTTAATTCAGAATGTCATCTTCTCTTCCACAACTTCTAATATATTGACACACGTTTTAGTGTGGCTTTTGGTAGTATCCTTCTGGACAGATTGCTCTATGGTGAGATGAACAGGTGCACATTATGCTGGGTGATAAACTGGCTGTGTCAGGAGAGGTTCAGACCAGGCATTAGGAAGAAATTCTGTACCGTGAGGGTGAGCAGACACTGGAACAGGCTTCCTAGCGAGGTGGTTGGAGCCCCATGCCTGTTGGTCAGGCAGCTGGGCCTGATGATCTCTGATCCTATTATGCAGGAGGCTTACAGGTATTGGTGGTGAGTACAATTCAACCACCAGCAAGCACTTGTGCATCGACACAGCTGCCAGTGTGCAACTGAGACTTTCCTACCATTCACTGCTCTTGAACAGTGGATTCCCTAGGAAGTTCCTCATCCAGTATAAGAAATTCAAATAATTCTTATTTCAAATAAAAAAGTTAAATATTCATACCTCTGAGGAAATCCAGAAATCCAGAAAGGATCATCTAAAATGAGCTTTAATTAAACTGAGATTTGACGTGACGCTATTTTATTACACAGAACATTGAAACTTGTTCAAGTTGTATTTTGAAATCCAAATAAATTCTTCCTACATCTTGTTCCTGCTTCAATCCCTTTTCATGATTTTTGCCCCATCTCCCTCTTTCTTCCTGTTAGCATTTTTCCCCCATCTCATTTACCTCTCTCCATGCTACTGCCCACCAAACACATTCTATCCATGTTGCAAAAGATAAGTGTTTTAGTCAAACTGTGTTTACATTTTTGAAATACATTAAGGGAATGATACCAAAAACTTGTAGAAAGAAGTGAAGGACTGGGAACTTTTCTCTGAGAACTCCAAAGTCTTCAATGGCACATCTGTATGCAGTAAGTATAAAACCAGGCAGGCCATGGACTCTGCACTGTTGAATAAATGTTTTGGTAACCAGTGGATAACATTTGCAGGTCAGCCTTGCATGGCATGCACAGAATAAACTTGAGGCCAAATCCAAAGCAAGTTTGCCCTGCTACAGGTTTCCCAAAGCAACGGGAATGGACTGCTTGCACAGAATTATACCAGCATTTTCTGCCTCAGCCTTCTTCCAACGCTATCGCAGCAAATGGCTCTGCTTCCCAAGCATGTGGTTCATAACAGTTTCATTTAGTTACAATCACTAGCATCAATCATCTAAAAAAAAAACACCACTGATAAATATACAAAAGGAATGTATCATGTAGAAGTGACTTCTCCAGTTTCAGTATATAAATCTCTCAGAAATACCGAATTATTTCGCTCAGTACATACTCCTAGTGCAAGTTCAGTATTACTTCCAAACTAATAAGTGGACGTTCGTTTTAGTAACATCCAGCTTGTACTCAAAAAGTGTCAAAAAAGTGTCTTTTACAGAAACAAGTCTAGTTCATCATTCAGATGAATGTTCTGAAGTTCAGAATAGGAAGGAAGCAGTACTAGCTAACTACAGATGACTGCCTTACAGTGAGGTATGAACACATTAAGAAACCCAAAGTGCTTTTCTAGGTGCAGTGAGAACAATGAATCACTGGAACAACCTCACCGAAGATGTGGTAGAATCCCAGTCACTGGAGGTTTTCAAGACGTGATTGGACATGTAAGCTCCTTTTTCCCACGAGAGGTTGGGCCTGGTAATATTTTGAGGACACTTCCAACCTTCAGCCAGTCAGCACACAACCTGTGCTGCTGCATGGGGTTACTGGTCTCTAACTTTCCTCTTTGCTGAACCTCATGCGGTTCCTCTCAGCCCATTTCTCCAGTCTGTTTTAATGGCATCAAGCCCACCTGGTGTATTATTCTCCTAGTTCTGTACCATCTTCAAACTGGCTGAGGGGCACGCTCTTGCATGCTCCGGGTCATTAATGAAGATGTTAAACAGCACTGGCCCCCTGGGGCCCACCACCAGGGACTTGCACCAGCTGGGCTTTGTCACCGATCACAACCCCCGTGCCTGGCAGTTTGGCCACATCTCAGTCCATTGCATTTACCAGTCATTTATCTAATCTACACTGTATCAGTTTGTCTTTGAGTGTGTTTTGGGAGACAAACACATTAGCGAGGCTTTTGACAAGCTGAAGAACATGCGATTCTCTCCATTCTTCCACTAAGCCAGCCAACTTGTAGAAAGAAGGCTGTCAGGTAGACGAAGTATGATTTCCACTTCATAAATCCATGCTGACCACTCCCAATCACCTTCTTATCCTCCATAAATCTGGAAATGCTTTCCAGGAATATTTGCTCCAGCATTTTCCCTATGATCAAGGTAAAGCCAACTAGCTTGTAGTTCCCTGAATTCTCCTGCTAGTCCTTCCTGAACACAGGAGTGACATTTGCTTTATTCCAGTCTCCAGGAACCTCCCCTTATCACCAAAGCCTGTCAAAGATTTTCAATAATGTTCTGCAGTGACCTTGCCTGGTTCCTTCAGCACTTGTGGCTGTATCTCATCAGGCCCCACAGACTTTTATATATTCAGTTTGTTTAAATGTTCCCTACCTTGATTCTCTTCCCCTAAGGGTAAGTTTGCCTTGCTCCATGTTTTTTCATAGGTCTCAGAAGCTTAGCATTCCTGAAGCCTGGTTTTACTAGTAAAGGCTGAGGCAAAAAAGGCATTGACTACCTCAGCCTTTTCCACATCCTTTATCATCAGGTCCACTACCCACCAAGCACCAGGCCCACATTTTCCTAGGTCTTTATTTTGCTACTAATGTACTCGTGGAAGCACTTACTGCTTCCCTCTCCAACAGACTCCAAATTTGACATTCCTAATCTCATCCCTGCATAATCAGACAATGTGTATGATGCTACCCAACCCTCCTGCTTCTTGTATGTTTCTTTTTCATATCCAAGTTTTACACCCATCCACACGTGCCTCCTGCCACCTCTGTTTGATTTGCTCCATGTGGATATTTCCTCCAGACGGTAGTGACATTGCTTTTCAGCTTGGAGGAGGTGATCCTTGAAGGAAAAAAAAAGTATTAACGAGAGCTTCTGAAGCCTTCTTCTCTGTCTGTGGTACACATGAGGTTTCCTCAAGTTTCTGAAGATCTCTTCTACTTCTTCCCAATGAGACTGTCCATAATAACATAACCCATGTCCATCTGTCCATTAATCCTGTTCCATAGGTTCTCAACGGGCTAATCATCTATTCCTAGGCAGAACTCCATTTGCTGCAGTTTATCCATGCTTATGAACTACAGGCAACATTAGTCACTGACTTTGTGACTTTCCCTTTAATATTTTTAGGTCCTGAAGTATCCACAACAACAAAACTTAACACTAAACAAACAGCAAGGCATCTCTTTTCCCTGCCAGTCTTAATGGTCCTAAGCAAAGCTTCCTATGGTATATATTAAGCTACAGCCTTACACATCCAGGACTCTGTAAGAACAACAGCCCCTAAGAAGTGTACAGCACACAAAGAATTCACCCTAAGACCACATAAAAAGGACTTGGATCTAATTCCATGTTACTGACACTGTTACTGGAAGGAGAGGACGTCATCATGGGCACTTTTCAGTAGAGTATTAACTTCAGTAGAGTATTAATTGTTGCTTCACAGTCACAAGCAAGTAGCATTATATTCTTCGCATTTTCATCTTAAGGTATTTTATCTTCATTTCTCAAATGAAAGCTATAAGTTGAAATAAACCTGTTGCTGGACAAAAATATAGATGATAAAAAACAGAAGCTCCAGTCTCCTTCACCAGCTCTTGCAGAAAGATGGAGCTCTGTGTCAGAATTTTTGATTCTGAACCCCAACAACACGGTGAGTTTCCCCATTTGAGCCATTCACAGAGGCAAAAGTATGGGAACAGAGGGAGCATGTGTCCTGATATTAACACTTCACTACCATTGGCAGTACTTGTTTTGTTAGACACCCAGTTGGGGCTTAACTATGATTAGAAGCCGTAATGTAGATCAAGAATGAATTACCTTTCAACAATGGTCATCTTGCTGAACTTAATATTGTTTTCTACTTTAAGTACTCATAGCTGTAACAACACAGCTTTACATTCCTTATATTAGCAGTTTTGCAGTTAACTAGGTTCTGACTCCAAGCAAATTTACACAGAAGAAAGAACTGGAAAGAAACTCATACTAAATTATATCCCAGCATTACTTCAGGCATATTTTCTAAACCTGAAAATTCTTTCCATCGTGTTTTTCTTTCAAACAGTGCTCAGGATCAGTGCCTTATGTTGGATACCTCACAAATAGCACATATGAAAACAATGAGATTTAACTATACTGGCAGTTTTACTTTAATCTTACTCCATCACTATTTCTGCTCTTTCATCTACTACTAAGAGTACTGGCCATTAAAAAACTTTATTCAAAAGCAGTGTACCAGAGTAGATACTAAAGAGTGAAGTCAGCACAATTCCTCTGAATACTGCTCTCAATTAAATAGCTAATTTGAATATTATACTCTTGAACTCAAAAGCTCAAACTGTGTTATAAATAATATCATATTATAAGGTAAACATACTCTTGTAAGTTGTTTTTTTTTTAAGATGATTTACCTTTTTCATAGGCAGGTGTGTTTTCTTCCAGCAGCCTGCTAAGCTGGAATCCATTCAAGTGCAAGAAACGTAGTTGTTCCCTCATTGTCTTGCCTCCTACAACTGGCAATATAAGGGTCCCAACGCTGTTTCTTGAAATGGGTAGACCAAGACCTACTGCCAGTGTACTTGCCAAATCAGTTTGTTGTACAAGTTCAGGTTGTGTTAGAGGACCTACAACCAACAAGATAATAAAAATGAAAGGAAAAAGCATTTCAATTACAGGCCTTTACTATTTCTATAGCAAGAGAGACATTTTTTTAATTTAAAAATATGTTCACTGCCATTAGATCAACCCGTTCAAGTGATCTACAGAGTGTTCTTTGTTGTAAAACCGAAACTTACTCAATTCTCAGCAAGTACCACTCTTCAATGTAAGCAATTACTGTTAACACAATATGAACGTTATACAAGTACAAATATTGGAAGAGATCGTCCAGGAGACCACCTTAATAATATCAAGTTGTAGTTTATAACCTGAGAGGGTTTGATAGCTTTTATATTAGAATGAATAGAAAATACTACAGTAGGCTGTTTTTTTCCATGAATGAAGTATGAGAATCTAAAATAATGCTTGCAGCATTCGAGAAGCTTTTTGATATAACTAAATCTCCACCAGGCTGCTAGGCAAACAGAATCAGAGGTCAGGTAAAGGAATGTTGAGGCCCAAATCCTGGAGATCCAGGCAGGCAAAATGTGTGATTTTAAAATGTTCTGTGCAGGATCCCATTACAGAATCACAGAGTCATCTAGGTTACCTGACTGCTGTTTTCAGGATTAGCCTTCAGTTTCACAGACTTCTACCTATCCACGTGAGATATGTCACTAATGTACGCAAACATTTAAGATTGCAATGACAATTGTTGATTCCTGTGCCTTACTAGTTACACAACAGGTTTTCTACTCTGTGTTTATGTAGTTCTCTTTGCAAATTTAGGCATTAAGTGTTTTGATTTAAGTACATGGAAAAAAAATGATATACAGCATTTATTACTCTCAAGGCCCCCTTTAAGAGCATTAGAACTTCATCTCTCATTTCTCATCTAGTTGTAATTAATCCCATCCTTGTTTAGAATGCCATCTATAATCCCTGAATACTCTTTGCATGAGTGCCTGTACATCTGCAATTTTCAGATTTCATCTTTAAGGGCAAGTTTTTAACTGGTCAAAAAAGCGCAACTAACAACCACATTTAGATGTCACCATGGGTGACATCTCTGTAGAAGGCTATGCAAGTAATAGTCTGACCACATATTAAATATGAAAACCCATGGGATTACCGTTTTGAGGTCTACCATATTAATGACAATACATTTTATTTACAGTAGGATCATAAGAAGCAATCACTAGAATTTTGACTGCTACAGCAATAAGAAGCAACCTGCTGAGTATTTACGTGGTTATCATTACAAATCACAGACTTGATCTCAAAAAAAACAGTTGACTAGGTATTTTTCATTATATTGTAAAAAACTGCATGTTCAGATTAACCACCACAGAACCCAATACAATTGACTAAGAGTTTCCATGCACAGAATCAACACTCTCCTGGCTTGGTTGTCAACACATACCTGTGACATTTATAAAGCAAAAACTTATCTGAGAGCTCCGGTAAGCTCTTGACTTTGTTTTGTTTTTGTATCTGAGGAGTTCAAGGACTCCTCAAGCAATCCTTTCTATTCCAGATGGATACAGTTTCACAAATGATAGAAAGATAAGTGTACTTTCACTGTGCTGCCGGAACATCCGGCAAAATAAGCAAGGCAAGGTTCAGCAAGCAGGAAAACAGATGGAAAAGGGCAAGAGGCAGAAAGGCAGGGGAAGTATTACTTTCAAGAAAACGTTCACTCCTATAACTACATTTCCCTGATTCATTCAGTCAAGGAGTTTATTTAGGCCAGATGCTGTAAGCTAGGCTACAGGTTGTGCTAGACACACCAATCCCTTCTTTCCTCTTACCTTAAGCTATATTATACAAGTAGAAAATGAGCTTCAGAAGAAGACAACCTCACATTAATGATTTAAAATGAACTTTCTGGCCAATACAGGAAATATACTTGTGCTCCATGTTCTTTCCTTAGATGCTTATTAATCAATGGTCCTGTTTTCTCTGCTTCATCTCTCTTCCTTTCACAAGAGCAATCCTTCCTTTTTCCTGTTATTTTCAGCATAAGAAATTGGCATTTATTCTTCACTCCTGGACATCTGAGAGGGAAGAATGGAGGCCAGGGAAATATTCTGACCAAGACAGGCAAAGCTTAAAACTCACTTCAAACAACATTTCAGTTCTAGTCTAATCCATTTACCAGAATACAGATCATTACATGATCCTGACAAGAAGAGATCTCATTAGCTCTGAACACTCAAGTAAGACAGTTCTGCAAAGGTTGTAATCTGAAAAATACCTAGTTCTGTCTGTGGTTACACAGTCAAAGCTGCAGTTTCAGCATGACACAGATGCAAACTCCAGCTAAACACAGAGGTCTCACAGAATATGTGGTATCTTGCCAGATACAAGTACAATGAACCGTGAGCTAAATTCTAGCACCGCCAGGGTGATAGCACAAGACAACCACAGTACTTTTCAGGAAAAAAAAAAGAATCTAGAGCTAATATAAATTAAACATGAAAATGTGTTCTAAAAAGTTCAGTTAACCAAGGTTTTTTGATCCTTACCACTTCTCTTTTCAAAAGCAGAGCTGATAAACAGCAGTGGTGTGTGCACTTCACCCTCTGAAGAACCACCATGACTACCTGTTTCAGACATCCCATGATCCCCACAAACAACCAGCAAACTCGGCAGAGAAGCCTCTCCTTCCTATAAATCACAGAAATTTAAGTTACTGTAAGAAGAGTACGCATATAGATAATGCCCTGTTATCTTTATCCATTTCATGCATAAATATTTGTTTAAATGAATTCAGTTTTCACGATTGGATCACAACACACAGAGCAGAGATGCCCACAGCTAAACGTTACGCAGCAATACTTGCTTTTAAAACTTAAGGCATACATATGTGTCATTATATAACAAACAGTACAAAGAAGCTTTCTAAAATAAGAAAAACAGAAACACAACCCATTTACAGAGTCAGAAGAATTTGTCTGATAGAGTAAACAAAGGTTCTCATACTCTGTGAAAAAAACAGGAGCACAGGAGCAGTAGCACTGCCAGAGAAATTTGTTTTCCCCAGCTGAAGAGTGTCTTCAGCTTCATTGAGATTTTAATAAAATATAAAAATATTAATTTGATAAACCTATTTTATAAATCTTACAATAAGCAATGGGTTAAAGAATATTTGAGCAGGGTCAAAGAAAATAAGCTACATTTGTAAAACAAAAAGAAAACTAATTATATGTTTCCATTTTAGACTGTGAGTTTTAAACTCAAACATGGTCTAAAGAAAAGAAAGAATAAAGTTAAATTTGCATTTCTTCCCCAATCTTTCAAGTGGCTTTGGAGTAGAAAACTGATGTGACTTATGTCAAATCATGTCTGTATTTCTGAAGACAAACAGAAGCATAAGTGAGGCCTGTTCAACAGCTCTGAGGTAACAAATCAAAGACCACAGGAAATAAATAGTCATTCCATAACAAAGTCATTAGTGATTACCAGTACCTGTTACACACAAATGAAAAGTGCCTTCATTCTTTCCATATTGTAGAACTAATATAAAGCCTTGCACATGTTGGCAAAAGAGTAACACACAGGCAAACAGTGCCAAAACCACCACACTACACATGAGATTTTAACTTCCGCAATCAGGAATTTAACCTTCCCTTTAATTTGACACTATTCTCTTGTCTGAAGAGACAAGTGAAGTTTTAAGCGTAGCTATTCTGAATTGCAGTTGCCTAAAACAAACGAGCAAACAAAACTTCAGACCGCTTGGAATAAGGTTATGGTATTTCAACATCCAGGGCATTTAGGTAAGAGACATCCTGTATCTCCAACTCTAAGAAGAGATTCGGATTTGGTAATGTAATGTGCTATGTTTAGTATACAAAGAAATGCTGTCTACTACCTCCAGTTCTACTTGATACTTTTCAGCATCTGAGAATTAATCATACCTTCAAATCATAAAAATGAGTGACATAGCTACATATACCTATTATTCCTTCTGGTGAATTTCATTACCGGAAAATCATACCAACTATCAGAATTATTCATGATCAATAAGAGAATTTTGGCTTGTATTCCTTCCCTCTTCCTGCACATCAAGGGGCAGTTATTTGGGACAGCTATTTAGAAGGGACAGTTAACAGATGTTACCAAGGTCAGCTAGTAAATCCTTAAATGCTACACTGTATTGTTAACTGGAGAGCGGGCAAGGAAGGAAAAAGAACAACACTCACTTTGGTCTAGGAATAAACGCCTACCCCTGAACAAGCGATTGTTTTGAGAATATTAATGCAATGCTATTCTATAAATAACACATTTTGATCTCAGAACGAGATATATTACCTTTGAAAGAAGGGAAATATGAATCTTCTTCAGGATGTTATCCATTTCACGAAGTTTTGGTCCCACTAGTGGGCTGTTTGGCCCAGTCACATGTCCAATATGGTCCAATCCTAGGTAATGTAGTATTAGGAGATCCCAGTCTTCTCTCTTTAACACCCTGTCCAAATGTCTGGTAACATTATCATCAACCTCAGAAATAAAAGAAAAACAATTAGAAAAATACTTTCTATGCTTGTAAAAAGCATAGAAAGATTACATCTCAATAGCCATGGAAGTTCTGTAGAAGCTGATGAGAACTAAAGCCACTCAAATTTAAAGAAAAAAAATAAACAGATTGATTGTTTCAATGCCAGAGTCAAAGATTCTGTCTTACAAAAGATTCTTCACCCCACTTCAATCCCTTCTGCTTGTGAAGGATCGTATTAAATACAAGGAGAGAAAACAGAATTGACATGCTTCCACAGACACTTTTAAAACAAGACATTTTTAGTCACTTTCATCCTTTACACTCCTGATTCATCAATTCAGAGGAGCAGATATATCAAACAATATCTCTTTGGAGCTTGGAAGCAAAGGAATAAGAAAGCCCTCCTGATCTTTCAATTCATTTTTTAGCTTCTATGTAAACACAAATGGATTTCATTTACTGTGACAAAAAGAACTGACCACATAGGAAGAAAGAAGGAAGATTTGAAAAATGCTGTTTGGGGACTACCTCATAAGTTCTCCTGCTTAGGTTGAGAACTCATTTTTAGTTGCATATATTTCCTCTAAATATTAAAAATACTTAATATTGCATGTGCAAAGCTTACTTTTTTGACTTTGTTGGATATAGCTATCTTAAAAAACTTTAAAATGCTATGTCTTTCTGAGTGAGAGACCATTAAAGCACAAAAAACACATGAAGCGCTGAGAGCAAAAGTAATCACAGACCCAGCAGCTTATTTGCATTTTTTCTCTCCACGTTGAAGCTTCCAGCAGGCTTTCTTAGAATAACCAGTTAAAGCATCTTCCATTCATACTGGGCCTAACTTCCTTAAACATGATAACAAAATACCGATGTCAGTAGCACCAGGTTAAAGGCCTGAGGTTTTGCAAATCAAAGGTTCAAAATACAAACCAGAACTGCTAGCCCACTGACTCATTTAGTAATCCCAGAATAAAAATTTTCACGATTTGTTTTATCTCCTGCTTACATTCCCTCTTTTCTAATATACTGAAACATTGCCCATCTTGCACCTGCAAAAGCAATACAATACTATAGAAAGTATGGATCTGGAAGAATAAAATTATCTGTTAGGAAGCCTTTTAAAGATGGCCTTTATTAATAAAAAATGTGATGGGAAGCTGGAACCATGGATAGTGGCATTTTTGAACAAACTGTAACAAACACAGTTTATTACTGTATCATCCAAACATTTCTCCACTGCCTCTGCCACAGGAACTTTGCTACACATTATCAATACTGAAAATATACAACCCAATTTCTATTTAATTGCCAGGTTCACGTTTCTGAACAATTATAGTTTCACTCATTTTCAGATGTCACTATGTGTTTGTGCATACATTATTTAACTTGAGATTACAAAAAGCCTCTCACCTCTGTAAAATCTGACACAAAGAAGGATGTTGTTCCATCATATTCTACAAAATGCTTTGGAAACAATTTGACCCAAGTATCATCACCGTAAAAGATTATTCTTTTCCCAGCTGTTTTTGCCTGCCAAATCAGATTGTCATCCAACAGAGCTGGAGAGTTGAGGTTCACAACAACATCAATGAAGCCAGGAATGCTACCTGTCATCAAGGCCTGCACAAAACAAGAAAAGAAAAGGAGAGGTATTAACAGAAACTAACAATTTCTCAGTACTCAGAATAAAAAAATTGCATAAGGGGAAGTAATGAAGCAGAGAGGAAAGAGATTACACTTTCAGTGAAGAAATATAATAAAGTAAAACAGCCATGCCACATTATATCAACTGGGACAACACGCTGCTAGTTGATATCAGAAATACTACTTGATTAACAGAAAAGTAAATATCTTTTCTTAATTAGTGAGTAGCAAAACCACTTTTTATCCCAGTTGGAATTTGTTTCATTTACCAGTTCAGCAGAACTCCAGCAAGACAGTTTAGATGGCCTAAGCGAAACTAATGTGACATAATACTACAAATGGTAGCACGGTCAAAACAGAAATTAAGAATTGAAGTCTGCAAAAACAACCTGATGATAATATAAAGGTATGTGCAGCTAGGCTTGCTGTCAGAAGCTGCAGGAACGCAATGAGTAGCACCAACTGAAGTGATGTTGGACAGAAGACAGCCGGGGAATGGGACGGCGCTTACTTTAATGCGAGGCATAGTCACGGTGGGCGGCTTGGCTTCGGCGACGAAGCTGTAGGACGTGCCTTTCTCGATGACCTGCGTGGCGTAGGGCATGAACTGCTTGCCTTTGGGGCCGAAGACGAAGTCCTGCCTCAGGGCGTCGATCAGCACCAGGACCACCCTCCTGAAGAGCGGCGGGGGCACGGCGCTCCAGTTGGACGCCGCTCCTACAGAAACAACGCCAGGCAGAAAATATATATACACCTATCAACAAAATTTCAACGTTTTTAAGCAAAATACGCCTCACCTGAGCCGGGCGGGGCGGGCTCGGCGGGGCCGTCCCCTGGGGGCCCCCCCCGCGGCCGGGCGCGCACGGCTGTGGGGAAGAAGCCGCGCAGGAAGATGGCGACGCCCATGGCCTGCAGCAGCAGGCAGCCCGCCGCCAGCACCCCCGCCCGCAGCCGCATCCCCCGCACCCGGACCCAGACCCAGACCCCTGCCCTGCTCCGGGCACGGAGCGCGGCTTCCGCTCGCCCCGCCCACGCGTCGCTCGCGGCCAATCGGAGGCTGCCGGAGCCGCCGCCGCTGCGCGGGGATTGGCTGGAGGACAGGCGGGGATCGCTTTTCTCCGCCCTTCCCTGAGGGGCGCGGCGCGGAGGCGGAAGTAGAGGTGGAGGTGGTGGCAGCGGGGAGGTGGAAAGGGTGGAATGGCCGCCTACGGGGCGGTGGAGGGGTCAGGCCGCGCAGAGCGCGGAGGGGAGGCCGCAGTGACAGGAGGTGGGGCAGCCCTCGGGTGCCCGGCCGCGGCCTGGTGGCGGCGGGGAGAGGGCATCCTGTGCTGGGGACACAGGGCACGGCCAAGGGGAGAGCCAAGGTGGCAGGAGCACAGCTTGGCCATGGTTATGTTAGTGACATGATGTGACATGAAACATACCATAACATAATGTACCATAACATACCATACCATAACATACCATAACATAACATACCATCACAGAATCACAGAATTTCTAGGTTGGAAGAGACCTCAAGATCATCAAGTCCAACCTCTGACCTAACACTAACAGTCCTCCACTAAACCATATCCCTAAACTCTACATCTAAACATTAATATATCATAACATACCATACCATACCATACCATACCATGCCACACCATACCCTCACTCTCCTGTACTTGCCTCCACACCCATCTCCCCGCGTAGTCTGAACCCTTTCACATCGGTGCAACCTGTGCTACGAGCCAACATTTGCTCCAGAAATTAACGGCACTGTGGGCTCTTTCCTCTACAGTCACAGAATCGTTAGGGTTGGAGAAGCCATCCAAGATCACCTGGTCCAACCATCCCCTACCACCAATGTCACGCACTAAACCCTGTCCCCAGGCACCACGTCCAGCCTTTCCTTGAACACCCCCAGGGACAGTGACCCCACCACCTCCCTGGGCAACCCGTCCCAGTGCCTGACTGCTCTTTCTGAGCAGAAATGTCTCCTCACTGCCAACCTGAACCTCCCCTGGCACAACTTGAGGCCATTCCCTCTGGTCCTATCACTGGTTATCTGCAAGAAGAGGCTGACCCCCGTGACAGGCTAGGAAGGAAATTTTGAAGTCAATAATGGGTGTTGGGCAAGCAGAATCTTTCTTCCCTCCCTTCTTGGAAAGGAAACACTGTAGCAGATGGGTCATGACAGATGAAAGAAGATAAACGAGTAGAAAAGAAGGCTTTAAAAGTTAATTTTCTGGAAATTGTCTTGCTGTGTACACTGATAAAGGGAGATAGCTGCAAAACTCACAATTTCATTCTCTCAAGTAATGCTACTTCTCATCTCTACCTGAGTAGGCCTCACGTTTTTGCTAGAAGGACATGGCACATTCTTTGCCACATGCAGAACCACTCAACCCTTTCCAGTGAGCTGCAGGTTTTCCCCAGTCTGACAGGAACAGTGCCCAGCCACCCACAGTCTGCCTGTGCCATTGTCCAGGGCTTAGCACGCTGTGGTCTGTGGCAAAGCCGTGTTACGACTTGATGCCACTGTGGCACTTCATGTTTACAGCCTTCATGCCATGTATATGTACATGCTGATGCGTTTCTACAAGCACCATGTAACTGAGCACTAGGGCAATTTTCCTCCTGGGCCACTTTCCACAGCAAACAATAATGTCTGCATTGTGGTCTGCATTATGTAAAGACAGGCCAAATGCATTGTACCGTGCTTTTAAAATATTTTCCTACTTAGGTTGGTCATGCTTGTTCTCAGACTGCTTCTAACATTTCAAGATGCTAGGAAGATGCAAAGCCATTATGCTAAAAATAAAATAAAATTAAAAAAAAAAAAAAAAGTGTTTTTGTATTTACAGTGGTCAGCTTATTTCCAGAAGCGCAGCCTTCAAAGTCCCATGTGCATTAATACTCTGTAAATAGCAGCAGCTGACAACGGCCAGTGCAATGAAATTCAGAGAGGATCTGTAAGGCTTTAAATAAGTAGGAAAAGGTGAAAGGAAACTTCTGGCTAGTCCATTGTATGTGTGCTTCAAGCTCTATAATGTTTTTATGTATCACACCTCAAAGTCACATAATCTGTATAACCAGAAGAGCAGTATTTCTTACTTTTAATGGGCATTCTTGCTTTCTTCACTTTCTTACTTTTAATGAGCATTTTCACCTTTCCTCTAAAACTTGAACCAGTGAGTGAGACTGTTCAAACAGAAGATTAGAAAGGTTAATCCAACTAACAAATAGGAGACATGTTAATGCAGGCAGTGTTTGTAAGTCTCAAAACAGCAAGTAAGAAATGTCTTTCTTTTTGTTTTCTTAGCAAACATTACATGACTTTCCATTTTAAGAGTAAGGTGGAAATTCCACAAGCACTGCATTATTTCTTCATGGTTCATATCCTCAGATTCCTACTTAGGATTTACTGTTTCTGTGTTCATTCAAAGGGATTTCTCCACAGACATGAATACACCAGCTGGCACGTGTTTCACACTCCTCAGTAGCAATCTCTAAGCACTTACTTAGAAGCATCACCATTGTCTCCCTAGAACCATTTGGCAGGTTTTTTTTTTACAGCAACAGGTTTTCAAGTTAATTATTATTGCATTTTACTTCGGGCATCAAATATCTAGAAAAAAAAATAATCTTTGTTCAGCACAGGATGTTAGGTCTTACTGAGTAATTGTCTATTAGTTTACGGGTCTATTATAGCATAATATACTCACATTCATTGCTGTGCATTTCTGTAGGCATTTTACAGAAAAAGAAAGAAAGAAAAATAAAAGAGAAAAAGAAAAAGATTAAAAAAAAAAAAAGGAGGAGAGGAGGGAAGGGGAGGGGAGCCCAATCCTAACCCTCTCTTCCCATTTCAAATACAAGCAATACCCTTCCATTTTACTTATTTTTTCTTTCTCCTTTCCCCTTGTCTAACTTAGTTGTGTTTTGAATGATTCAATTCTGTATTGGGAAAACACGGGAGAAGCAGAAATGGGGGCAGTGACCAAGTTCAGCAGGTATAAGTAAAAGCTACCTTTTTTAGATACAAGGGGTGCATAGCATATCAATTAAGTGAAGCTCTAATAAAAATCCAAGACTTTTAAAGCTGAGAGGTGTCTCTGACAGCACTACCATGTAGTTAGAAATCCAGAAGGACACAGAGAAACTTTTTTCTCCTATCTCATTTCTGTATTCGTCAGTACCTGGCAATTTGAATGTATGTCAGGTCTCTGCTGGTTTAAGCCGTGGCAAAACATCAGAAAAAGTTATCAAAGACTGTCCACTGAAGTGTGAATCTCCCTCCTCCATTCTGGTGTACGCCAGAGTCTCCAGAGGTATGCAGCTGCTGAGGCGAAGGACAATGCAAAAGCACTGTCATTTTAAACCCTGTTTCTCAAATCTGAGACCAAATGGGAATTTCTGCGCATAAGAGCTGGACAGCAGTATATATATATATATTCAAAAAACATTCAATAGCTTTATTTGTGTCAAATAATTGATTTGTCTGTCTTCACACATACATAGGCACATACAAAACACATACTCATGAAGACGGTAACTCCTGATCACCCCAGAGACGATGAGCTGTGGGAAGTCAAAAAGTCTGTTTTGTTTCTGTAGACTGCAGACTTACTCCTTGCTGCAATACAAAATTATCTGCTTTCAAAGGGGAAGCAAAGCTGCAGAGGAAGAACTAATTGAAGAAAGAGGCTGCTCGTTAGCTGCCCCCAGAGCCCTGCCCTCAAAGCTTACACTGCTTAGTAGCAGTATCTCTATCCCTCTTTATCTGCACGGGGTTGTACAGATAAGTGAACAGTCATCCCTTCTTAAGAAAGCCCTGGCCTTAGAATTGCATTTTTGCTCCCATCCAGGCGGGTTCCCTCAGAGCTACAAGCCTAGGATGGGATTGCTCTGCTTGATCTCCACAAGTGCTGCTTGTTAGAACTGATCTCAGGATGCTCTGAGTCAATTTTATTTTTTCATTCAGTCTAAATGGACTTCAGATAAAACAGAAATGGAAAAGAACAAGTCTCCAAGGAAAATTTCCAAACCCACTTTAGAAGATGGACAGATTCTGGTGGTATAAATACCTGAGACGCCCCAAACCCAGATATCAATGGACTCCACTGATTACAGAGTAATATCAGCCGTCTGTCTTTCTGGGCAGGCACTGGCAGAAAGATCCAGATCAGGATATAGCTGAACCCACAGCTTCTCCTTGCATGTGAAAACTGTCCAAAATCCCTCTTCCTGCTAATTTCCCCCTCCCTTATCTTACTGCTTCTTCTGCTAATCTCTTTCCCTTTATCTTCCATCTCTGTTTCCTGAGGAAAAATCTTATGCAGGCATGCTCTGTGTTTGACAGTCCTTCTTCTGTTCTTCCTGACAATCTGAGCCCATTTCTAGAGAGGCAGCGAACAGGGGTCCTGGCAATACTAAGTTATTGCAGGTTACAGGAGAACCTGGACATAGCCAATGGACTCTGGATGTGCTCCCACCAAAATAAATAAATATAAATAAATAAATAAATGCAACTCTCTGTGGTGTAAGCCAACCCCTTAGCAGGTGCCCAAGTCTCAGCTGAGCAGTGAGAGAAACAAGGCGTGAGATGAGCAACCCAGCCAGAGCATGGGCAACAACCATGTCCTCATCTCAGGCACCAGGGCACCCGGGAGCTGCGTTCACCTGCAAGGCAGAGGGCTGCCCCTGCATACAAGAGTAACTTCAGCCCCCTCCAACACTCCTTGTTTACCTGAGGATTAGGGAGGGTTTTTTTCTTTTTTTTCTTTTCTTTTCTTTTTTTTTTTTTTTTAATAGGCAGTAGGTCCTTTTCCTATGGAAAGAATCCCTCATGGTGAAGAAATCCTCTTTGCCTGGGTCCCTGTGAGAAATGGTGAAAAAGAACTAGAAAGCTGAAGTAGTAAATATAATTATACTAATCTAACAAATGTGAATTATCTGAAATAACATGCCTTGGTAAGAAATCCGAGCCAAGCTCTTTTTTTAGCTTTATTGTCTTCCTGCCCCACATCATTTCCTTCTCTGAGCCCAAGTCTTCAT